AACTGTGACAAATTATTAGGCCATGAAACTAGGCTACTGAAACTACGAAATAAAATCAGGTCATTGTTTTCAAATCATAGATGTACATGTAGATTACTACCGGTATGTCATGTCTATAATACGTCCGGACAATTTAAAAGGAGTTCAAATTGCAAAAGCTTTATTTGTATATTAAAGCTAATGAACATGTATCTAGGTGCATTGTGGGAATATCTGATCTTCATTTGTTTTAAATGCTGTCAAATTTTACCCACTCGATATCATGTACCATACAACATGTAAATCAGATATTTAAGAAGTGAAGTTGTCCAAATTTTTTGCCTTCTCCTGTATTTTCTTTACATTTGACTTAAAGTCAAGGCACAATTCACACAATTTCTGATACTGATTTTTTCTTGCATCTTAAAAAGAAAGAGTATATGGGAAAGAAAGAGGGATAGAGGTACAGGTATGAGAGAAGGAGAGTTGAGTTTATATGAAACTGAGAATACATGTGAAGCCTGCATTTTAAAATAGTAATATGAAGGAAAGTGTTGAATGTTATTTTGGAAACGTGAAAGGAAGTTGCTGAAAACATGCATAACTCCGCTGTATGAGTGATCAGGAACTAGCAATGAGTGATGACAGAATCACATGTATCGTTAGCTACATTTACATGTTCACATTCACTAATGTCTACACACATACATGTCGTACAGTCTTAAGGCTTTTGAAAAACTATTTTAAAGGGATACTGACGTGTCACATAGTGTATTGTTGATGCGCTCTACAGACATTTTTTTTTTGCTACAACAAAGAAAGGGATTTTTTTTTTTAAATTGAATTTGTAGAGGTAAATGAATTCAATTTTCATGTACACTGTAGATTTGCTGAATGGCAAACGATGACCAAAGAGCCATCAACATATCCCTTAAAGTCATTTTAAAAGCAGTTGAAGATGAATGTATCAAATAAGCATCTTTAAATATAAATTATATTTACACATAACACAATGTTATAAGAATCATTTTGTCACTTTTTTCTATCTAAAATGCAAGGTTTCCACTTGAGCAGTTATTGTATTTTTCCTTGAGCATAATTCCCTTCCTTTTCTTTTTCCTTTTTAGTCTTAATTGTCTATCAATTAATAGATATGAATCTGAAACAATGGGCAGGATGTACCATAGAATAATCACTCATGAAAACCTTTTTCATCAGCAGACAATGTGAATATTCACTCATGTGATTAATTAATTACAAAGCTCATTCTTTTTACTCACATTAAAACAATCTATAACAATAAAAAGTGGATTGCCAATGACTATTTTCAGCCCAACAGTTGAACGCAGTTTTAACTATTTTCTATTTAGTACTTATATTTTGGATATGTTTGCAAGAACTTCAGATCAGGCAGAAAAAAAGATACAAAAAGGGCACAATTTGGTTTCAAAATAGCACAAATTGTCTGATGAGATTCAAGAGCGAAAAGAGCATTAACTCTTTGTTAAAAGATATGAGTTAATGCCCTCTGCCTCTAGGCTTTTAGCAGACAAATTGTTCCACTTCTCTACATTTTGGATATCCATGGGATGAAATATAGTCAAGCTTTTTCCTTTTTCCTCTTCAAATGAGTGTTTAAAAATACATGTAATTGGAAATAAAATACCCGGAGATGACTGATTTAAGGAAAATTTTGATATTGAGATTTAAACACATAAAAAGAAAAAGTTTGATATTGTATGAATACCTGTCAAGGTGAAAGGATCTTTTCTATTTGGGTCACATTGCGATCATTGTCATTAGGCATTCTAAAGAATGTTACTTGCTTGACATGAGACACCCAAGGGGTTACATCCAAACCCAAACGTGCCACGGCAGTGACGCAAGAACCGCCCGGACGCGTCACAGATCATCGAAGATTCTATTTCACCCTCCATCATGTGGGATAATAAAAGAGTGAATCTGGTGCCCCTTTGTCTGCTCACTATGATATAGTTTGGAGGGGAAAGCCTCAAGGTTTCCATCCACTCTAAGAAAGCGTGACATACTTTTTCTTGTTCAAGATGCATAGTCATGGATGTTGCAGAAACTAGCTATACATGGATGACATTCTATTCAACATCTTCAAGATCACAAGACTGGTTTTAGATGCTGCTTGTTAAGACTGGTTTTGTAATGGATGTAATTGGCATGTTATACACTTTTTGGTTGTATTATATATTGGTTGAATCCTACAAAGAACATCCATACCCTGTTTGTATAAGTGTTAAATATGATTTTGATTATGTTATAAACACATTTCCCATAGACCCCTTTTATAATTTCAGGTAATGTACTGTAGCGTTCAGTTAGCATTAAGATCCTCTCTTAAATCAAGAGATGAATACACAACATGTATTAAATTCCCTCTGGTTTAAAAAAATAGTTCATAAACATGCACAATATGGATAATGATTGATTGGATTTTAAAGTATGTAATTGACTAACCAATTAATTGTTGGATGCTGCTTATAAGTATCGGCTTTCATGGTGATGTAGATATACAGTAGGCTTAAATTAATTGTTTGATTGCTAATTTGATTGATTGGCTGATCATTGATTTATTAGCTGCTTGAATAATTTCTAAATCCCTTGAAACTTTTTAGAGGCATTTACCTTTAAATAAATGTGATTAAGAAATATCTCAATTAAAATGGTATGAACTTCTTTTTAAATTGTATGTAAAGTTTGTATTTCTTGCAAAAACAAAGGCTGGGCAGAAATTTGTCTGATTTCTTACACTTCAGGTGCACTTCCCACATCAATCCGTGTACGGTTACCTTCTAACCTAAATTTTAATAGCAAAATATAAAGCGCTTGCTTAGTTTCTTTGCCCATCATGGCAGACAAGTACATGTATCTGATTTTTAATTAAACATCAAATTGACCTCCAGGTAAATTATAGCATTATATGGTATCAGGGATTTCAGCTTATTGTCAAACACATATCAATTATGATAGTCTTATTTGAATGACAATGACTTATTTGGAAAGTAGAAATTCTACATGTACTTCTAATTGTCATTCTTTTTAAAAAAGTCATTTCAGATCTATAAGAGGAATATAAATGCATAAATACAAAGTGGCATTACAAGAGATGGCTGATACAAGACAAATTATTTTGTATTTCTCCTCTCAAATCTTGACAAATGCAAATATGATCACAATTTATATTCACAAGACTCTCAAGAGAACCATTATATTTAGATCACAAGATGCATTTATCAGAAAGATTACCCCAAAAACTTCCTTGTCAGATATGTCTCTGGAGACCGGTACTCTGTTTCATAAACTAGTTCAACTCATTTTCGGTCATAACAATCTATTTTATATCAAATGTCTGTGTTTTACAATTTTCTTCACATATGTAGATTGGAATATTTCAAATTTACACATTTTCCTTCAATACCTGGCTGGCTTCAAATCCTTTCAATCCATTGCCCCACGCCTACAGAACAAACTTCCTGCATTGCTGAGAAATACATGTAGTACTTCAATTGACTTCTTCAAAAATTATCTGTAATCAAACATCTACAATTCTTTCTTTTTTTCCTTACACTAATGGACAACGCTTTTTATGTACATGTACATGTACATGTATATCCTCTGTAAATAAATCCAATTATTATCATGAATACCTTGTAATCACACCATAAACTGTAGGTGGGGGTTGATTAAGTAAATTATAAGGATCTCACTCTACCTGCATGTGGGTACCTCTTTCATATACATGTAATACCAACATATTTTGTGTAACTCACAATCAAACCAAAAGCATGTACATGAACCTGTAGGCTGTAATCTTTATAAAAAAAATAAGCTATAGAGATGTATGCAGGTACATATTGGCCCTAATTCACGAAAGTAGTTTATCCTAACCCACGGGCTATATACCTCCATAAGAGGAATATACATCCGCATCCTCACGTTCATAAACAGGCAATATTTATGGTTTAGTACACTTATTTTAATTTAAACCATGTTTTAGACCATGAGTTAAAATTAAGCCTCTTTTGTGAATTTGACCCAATATGTCAGATTACATGACTAAATGAAATACTAGAACTACAGCATGGCTTTCTCACCCAATCATGTGTTATTATGTTACAAATTAATAGCATGACGGTAAAATAGCCCTATTATTTTTTAATTGTACGACATTACATGGCAATTTACATCCAAGATCCAGATTACATATGAATTGAGTAATGGTAAATATATCAAAACAATAAAAATGTGTTTCTTATATGTCTCCACCCTACATTTGGTATCGGCAATTGATGGAATTATTTGTGAAACAGTATCACAATGACAACAAAAAGCCTATAATCAAAAGTCAACTGACCATGATCTGTACTAGCCTTAAAATGTAATTGGATCATCTTCCTATTGTCACCGTGTTTGAAACTCGTACCTCAAGAAGTTCTTGACATATTCTGATAACAAGAGTAATACCTCTAATTCCCAAAAATTGAAATCTATGACATTTGACCTTTGTTCTACATACCCTAAAATATAATTAGGTTGTCTTTCTATGGTGATACAACTATCAGAATGTTTGAAGCTCATATTTCTAGTTGTTCCTGAGACACTGCAATATCAAAGCTGATACCTGTAATTTCAGCCATTGACATCTAAAATGTGTGAGATGTTGCAATAATGAGGCTAATACATGAAGTGTCATAAGTTGATCTCTTTGACCTTTGACCAAGTTACTCCAAAATTTCATCAGATTGTCATCCTATGGAGATACATACATGTACATGTACCATCATCAAGTTTGAAGTTCATATCTCAATTGGTTCTTGAGATATCGCGATAACGAGAAAGCAAGACGGACGGAGGAAAACATAAAAACATAAGCCTCTGGCACCACTTTTGGTGGGCGGAAGCATAAATAAGTACTGAACTGTAGGTAATTAGGATCATTAGACATAATAGGACATACATGTATAAACAATAACAATTGGTTGCCTACTCACCCAATGCTCCTGGCTCTGTTCTATCTCTCAGCTCCCACTCCACTGGTAGCTTGCGTTTAGCTCCTAAGGACGATGAGGATGAAGATGATGATGATGGCCCAGGCAGAAGGCCTTCCATCGTTGCCATGGTAATAGATGTCTGCAGTTGGTCTGGTATCTCAATCTTCTAGCAGTGTCTTTGAAAACTTGGTACTTGATGACTGACAACTACATAGGTCTGCAAGTAAATTATGAAATGACAATTAGAGCAAGAAAATGGCTTACTGGACAAAATTGACAAAAATTTACATAACTTTATTCATTCATGAAACTCTTAATTTACAGACTGTATGAACACTAACCTGTAGTACAAATTGACACCTTCCTAATACATGTTCCAAAACCATTCACAAAATTATGTCTTAGTGCACAATTTCAATTGTGAATATATACATGTATTCAAAATAATCAGTATAACAAATGCTTTCTCCTAATTTTGCTACTTGCTGCAGAGCCAAGTTAGATTATGAAGTAAGAATAAATAGAAAGATCATGCAGATTTGGCATGGGTTTTGGGGCAGCGGGAAGCATTATGAGTATAGTGTCTGACTTCAATTCCATCCAGCTTTGTGTACGAATGAATCCCATCAATAAGGCCTAGAAAGATTTGAACTTTTATTGTCGTCAACGGAGCAGGGGAAGGAATCTTCTTCTTCTTTTAACTGAAGTGATTTCACTCTTATATATTGACTACCGTAGGCTATAATTGTACCATATTACACAAAGATTTAAAACTTGTTTTCATTACTCAATGAACCTAAAATGTGAATAACTTCATTTGCTGAATTTTCTAAAAAAACATCTGGGTTATTACATTTCATGTTTTATCTATTGAGAGCCAGAAGGCTGTTAACTCTGTAAAATTATTGAGTTAAAGCTAATCTTGAGCTCTGGTATCGATGGGCATTATATGTCGACAGTATATTGCTATCATTCATTCTGGATTGTTTATCTTGCAGAAGATTGATTGTTTGAACCAGTAAAATAAAAACAAAACCTCACAAAAACTTGCTGGAAATCATCTTCAATAAAAACCACAACAAAAAGATTTATTTTCCTTTTTAAGAGAAAAAGTTCTCTCCAGGGATGTAGCGCTGAATTCATTTCATACATCACTTAACGATGGGTACAGAATGGAAGGAGAGGAACAATAGAAGCTGACGAGAAAGGTCAAACACTTTGAAGCCTAACCTGAAAACATTCACCTCCCATCATTAGCTTTCTCCTGTACTCAGTAGGAATACTCCTTCACAATGGAAGCTTATCCAAGAATACCATGTCAATGCTTGGAAAACACACAGCTGGATAGCAACAGGGATCTATTATCAGCTCTTTATAGAGGTGTCTTGCTCAGCTCAAGTGCACAAAAGTTCAACTTAGCGATTGGTTTCTTCCAACATACATCAATGTAAGCCTGGGTCATAGTTTGTTCACACATGGTTTACAGAAAAATCAGGTGCACTGAATGATTTACAATATAATGGAAAATTTGAGGAAAAAAAAACAATTCTATTTAATAATAAGACATACTGTAATCTTGATCATTGTGACAGTATTAATGCTATTCTTTCTCTGATTGAATAATTCTCTCATAGTTATATCCTGAATAATAATGTGTATTAATAAGGCTGAGGAGTATACAATGTACAAGATAAAAGCATGTAAACAATGATTATAAAATAACAACTACTTTGACTACTTTTCTCCTGACAATCGAGGGAATTGTATTATTCTCAAAACAGAACAAACTAGTGGATTTACTCAATTAGGATTTCATGCTAATTGTGAGGAGTCAGCAGACCACCTGGTAATCTAGAGGTTACCCCGTTGACTACTGAATTCTCTCAATCCAAAAGACTTTAAAGGTACTATGTCCCTTTTGCAGCCAACCTCAAATTCTGTAGAACTTTGCAGGAATTATGAACATATCATGTATGTCCTATCTGTGAAATTTAAACATTAGCAGTGTCCTCATATTCAAATTATGCAAGGAAACCTGTTTACTTGCTAGACTTCACTGTCAGACACTATTGAGTGACTGACTGGCTTTTTTTCTTCTTTGGTAATAACATACATGAAAAGAGTTGTAAAGGGTACATGAGCATTTGTCTACATCAATAACCCACTTCTTGTGATGGCCAAGATTAAACTGATTGAATCTTTGCGCAGCATAAAACGTATGACCATTCGGTACAATCGTCTGAAAATCAAGACTATTACTTTTGGGCTCTATAGCCCTAAAGTCGATTTGACAACTGATAGTCGTTATTTTCCCACTTGAAGACATTTTCAAGCCCCACCTTTTGTAGGGAAGTTATAAATTAGTATTATTTTCAAATGCAGTTGGAATTTAACTTTTTCATTTTTTTGGCCTACAAATGGGACATAGTACCTTTAATATACGAGCCATTCGGTTCAGTATCCAATGAGTTAACTAATAATATCATCAATAGGGATTAATCATGAAAAACAATTGCCTTGCTGGTGCCAACTTGGAAGTACTTAATAGTGCACCCGATTCTTCTGACCTCCTTCAAGTGATACTCTGTTATAAAAACCAAACTTCCTAAACTACTTATGACCAGCAACTCTTCTCTTTCTCTGCCCACATATAATTCATGCACAGATTTATCTGCTGAGGGCTAGTAAAAGGGTGTTAAATCCTATTATTCCCACGCAGGTCTTAATGTACAGTGGCTATACTTACTCTGCACAGATTCATTGCAACAGACATTCACAATAAATCAGAAATCTTCATCTTAAACGTAAAGGCCTAAAAAATATTTAGGGTGTGATTTAAATTTTTTATTACAGTTTACACCAAACTTATGGCCATCATCTTCTTTATTCTACAAATAATCCAATTCTTATATTTGTGAACAAATACTTCTGAATGACAAATCATAAATCACAAATGCAACTCTTTCAGTCAAATTCATTATTTACTTTTATCTTCTCTTTATATTTTGACTTGGTCATGGATTGAAGTTGAACTTATTTGCACCTGTATTGTAAGCAGTCAGGATGTACACTTTTCAACAGTAATTTGATTCAACTAAAAACCCATTTACAATAACAGACGAATACAAAACAAACCTGAACTCTGTGAAGAGGTGAAAGCACTTCGTTTATCCCTTGTTCGACGTGCGACAGAGTAGGCGAAATGCAAAAAAGTCACCGGCGAGAACAAAGGGCTTGCCAGAAATAGGTCATTGTTCGTAGGTCCGCCTGCCCACCGCTGCCCGTAGCTCGACCCTGCTACGCCGTGACAAAGGCTTCGTCTGCTGTTTTTGTTGACAAAAACCGACACAGTTGTAAACTGAAAATATCTTTAAATTTATATATTCATAACTTCTTACCTGCTAAATTATGAGGAGGAAGTCACCATCTACCGATACAGTTTTCTTCTGAGTCTATATCTGCCAGCAAAGTGTTCGGGATCAATTTTGTAATAATAGTGTAGTGGTGGACTGTCTCGGAATAGCATTCGTGAATGAATGAATGAATGAAGAACGAACCGGAATCGAGCGATTTGCAAGCGCAGAGTGCACGGCCAAATCGCGGAGCTGAACTCGAAGCAGACTGCGTTGGGCTGCAGAAATTGTATTGTGTGTGAAACTCATGTAGCATACACAATCCAGCAGGAGTTTGAGCCAGACACAAATAAAAAAAAAAATGACCTACTGACCTAGTTCTCACGAAAACGTCGTATTCTTCGTTTACGGCCTCGTTCATTGGTCAGTTTCGGGAGTGAACATTATTTCGGAAGAGGGGATTATTTGAGTTGGTCCAATGTTTGATATGTTTGTGGGAAATTTTCTTGATAACAAATTGTTTAGGATAATCTGTTTTCAATTGAAAATTGTTATGAGCAGTTTCCGTAATTTAAAAGAAATCACATGAAATTGTGCTTCTGTCAATATTTACCTCCTATCAACTAACATCCCTTTTATTCAATGCATTACTCCAAAAACTTTTTATTACGTCACTTAATCATTATAAAAATTATTCTACTTTTCATATTTGGGGACCAAAATAATGGCTGCCGAAACCGCAAAGTTCTGTGCACTCTGCCACTGTTAATGGTCATTGACTTGAGTGCATACATGTCTCATTTTCATCCCCATATTCCGAGCAAAACAAACAATACCAAATAATAAGGGGGAAACGATGATGTGGAAAGGATAGTCTATTCAAGTAATAGGACAACGCCGCCCTTGTTTCCGAGCATGTCGCAAAAATAACAAAACGAAAAAAGAAAAAAAATATCTAGGGGAATTCTTGATCTAGAGTTTGAATTGATGCACTTTATGTCAACACAAAATGTAAAAAGATAGTATACCTGATTATTTTTTGATCCGCCTCTTCCCGGTCCCCCTCTCTCTATTACTCCTTTATTATGAAACTAGCCCACCATTCAATTAGCCTACCAAATATCAGTGGCTAAGTTGCAGTGTTTCGCACCCCCCTCCCCCCTATGTACAATAAAATGGTGAAACGTCGGGAAAGGGGGAAAGAAAGGATGATGATGATCCACATTACTTCATTCAAAGGCGCCCGCTCCTTCAGTAGTTATGGACTACATTTTGTTTGGGGAAAAGGGTTTTGAGGCCTGACTTAAAGGTAAAGACCAGTTATGGTCACGCGATTGCATTGTGAAAGAAACGTTGTGGAATCGATCAGAAAAGGTTGATCATCTAGCATCTACATCTGCAAGGTTCTGGAATCATCAAAATGATAAGAAATTTGGCCCATTCTTCGTAAAGTTACAAGCACTATGCACAGAAAGATGTATATGGGACTACCTCTCACAGACCATGAGAGAAACAAATTTACCAAATATATGAATTAGTAGGCGGTTTCCCGGCAAATTTTTTATCATCATGTATTAGTCAAAACATATTCTTTCACATGATTGGTAATGAGAGCTTCCATTTCATTTTTTGAAATTGGGGTGTTTCCAATACTGGTCTTTACCTTTAAAGCTTTCTAGCTTGTTGGTGTTGCGAAGAACAGGAGGGAGGGAGTAGAAAAAAGTAAAGTGGGCAACAAGAAAAAAGAGACTCCATCACTCCCCCCCCCCTCTCTCTCTCTCTCTCTCTCTCTCCCTCTCTCTCTCTATATATATCTCTATTGTTCTCTCTCTCTCTCTCTCTCTCTCTCTCTCTCTCTCTCTCACTGTCTCTCTGTCTCTCTCTCTCTCCCTCTTTTAGTTTTCGTTCTTCATTCCCTCTATTTTTAGTCATTATAACCCCCTCCCTCTCGCAAGATTCAAATGATTTTATTTCACACGCAAAACATAATACAATGAAATTTTTGCAATATTATTTGCAGTTTAATATAAGTATTTTACCAAAAATATACAATGGTACAAGACAAATATAATAGTAATGGCAAGAAAAAAGAGGACCTAAATAGAAGCTGAGCTTGTTGAAGTATTGGTTCCTCGGAGGCTCTGTCTTTCCATCATCATCATCATCATCATCATCATTCTCCTCACATCACATTATTAGATCCAGGTTAATCGTCTCGTCTAGCATTATAGGAACAATTGTCTCTTGAGACCAAATGATCATTAACCCAATTCTCGTTTACTTCTCCTGAAACTGTTTAATGAATTTCCTCATTTAAGAGAGCAAACAAATCCAATTAAAAAGGGGACGCGTGACTGATGTAGGTTGTGGCAGCGATATAATAGCACTTCGGCGTTATTACCACGGTTTAGTTTACTTTTTTCAATTCTTCTAGTCTGTCAAGAACAAAGGGTTTTATTACTGTGATACCCGATAAAGATCTTTACCTGGTCAAATCCTCTTCATTGTTATCATCCGTTTATTAACACTCGCTCATCGTTCAAAAGCTTGTAATTTCCATGTTTTAACCCCGATGAGAATGATGAGTGAATACATTTTCTTATAATTATTAATTTATTAATCTATTTAAATTAAAAGTGATAGTTCGCGGCCAGTGAACCGAATTGCAGATTATTTTACAATGATAAGAACAAGATATAATGGATACATTGAAGAAAGATGAAATACAACTATGACAAAAGCAATAGCAAAATTTTGCCAAAAATACCAACAATACGAGGTTTGTAAATATGACAGAGTGACAATGTTTAACAATAAATTCACCCTCTGTAAGAGAAAAATTGAAGAGATGAGCGAGAGAGAGAGAGAGAGAGATAGATAGAGAGGGAGAGAGAGAGAGAGAGAGAGAGAGAAAGAGAGAGAGAAAGAGAGAGAGAGAGGAGGTGGGGGGGGGGGCAGACAAACCATTGGGCGGCAAGAGTTTTCTTGGAACAATCGTAGTATATAGTAAACACAGATTGAAATCAAACAAGAAACGACTTTGATCAAACAATATTCAAAATAAAAAGAACATTTACACCTAACCATGGTTGTTAATTTACTGCCATAAACATAACTTATTCTAGAGCATGTTTTTATTTTTTGAATGCGATTATGAAAGAATCAGTGTTTTTCTTTAAATCAAGTATCCCTTTTCTTTTCCTTTTTTTTTTTGCTACGCGAATTACAGCACTGCACTGTTGTCTTTTTTTGTGTTGGAAAAAATAGGAAGATTGTCCACGACTTTATCACAGAGGCATTACCGATAACCAATTTAAAGAGCCCATGCCTATAGTGATAACAATTTTTTTTAATCGTATTTTTCTCATTTTTCCCCGATTTTATTCAAACTTTCACCGGTTTACTTCTCTAATTTGTCTGGTTTGCTATCAAGGTTGGATTTCCTTCTATTGGTTACCTTGCTGGATTCCTCGACTATTTTAGTACAGATTTGAATAATTTTGCACCCTATCAAAGGAATTTAATTATTTAAAAAACGCTTATCACAGTATTATGATTAATAAGAAATTATATTTTTGAGGGTTAAATATGAAAAGAAAATATATATCGCTAAGTCACTTTGTCCCTCACTTAAATAATAACAGTTAAAAAGAACTTGATCTCATGTAATTAAAAAAGATCAACCTAATTTCCACAGCATTGTCCGTCACTTGACAACGACATAATTTATTAATGTAATACGTGATAATTTTTTATTTGTTTTTGTTTTTTTTTTTTTTTGGGGGGCATGGGCGGATCCAGCCGGCGGCAAAAGGGGGGGGGGGGGGCCCAAATCTCGAGAATTTTTTTAGCGGCGAATCAGCCAGCCGGCGAACGGCGAATAAGCGGGGTGGGAGTAGGGGGGGGGGGGGTAAGAGCCCTTTTTTTCCCTCCAGTTTTTGAGGGAAAATTTTTGCGTCGACTAAGGCGGCCGGTGAATAAGCGGGGAGGGGGGCAGGCCGGTAAAATCGGCCCGTGGAACCGCGCCTGGGGGGGGGGGGTACTTAGATTTGGTTGAACGGGGGTGTGCCACTCAAGCCTATAAACCCCAACCTATTTTCAAGCGTCAGTTTAGAAGATTTTCTCGAAGTAAGGCCCATTTTTCACAATTTTCGGGTGTTTGCCATGCAAAGACCAGAAATTTTTAGAAATTTAAAAAAAACGGACCCATTTATTGGTAGTTTTGCTTAAATTGGGACCCATGTTAAGGGATTTTTTTGTGCGGCACACCCCTCATGTCCGATGTGAGTACCCCCCCCCCCCCGATCTACCATGGCGTATGAAAAATTACCTTGAGATGCTTTATAATCTTATCACGATCCGCATTTCAGCTCAACGCAAGCATTGTTTAAAAGACTAATGGAGCAAACTCGCAAAGACTTTTGAAAAATCAACCTAGAGAAATTGCAATAGCCTATCCACAATATTATTGCACAGACATTATACACTGACGCATGATGTAATCTGAACATGATTTGTATGGGATAAACACAAATGCGATTGACTTGATTTTTCAAATGTCTTCGCGACAATTTTATGAGTACATAGATACAGACAGATACATGCAAATTGATAGACAGACATATAAATAGATGGATAGATAACAATTTATATGATTTGAATACAGCGCTCAATAGCCAGTCAAACTTGGGGCGGGAAGGGAAGGCAACATAATGTCTCAAAAGTACTGACAAGGAAAAACAAAATAATACAAATGTCTTACAGGGGAGAGCCCAAGAAAAAATCTTACAGAAGTAAGAAAAGGAAGCAAGTTAACAAGCAAAGTAACATAAAAACGAACAACATAACACAAAGGTTATCAACTCTTCCCTGGGGGTAATGTTGCAAAAATAACTATCAGTGAGTCTTGGGGGTAGTTAAGAAAGGGCACCGTGAAACAATTTAATTAAACAGATTTTTAAAAAATTGCCAGAAGAAAAAGACAGCTAAACTGGCCCCTATAGCGTATAGTGATACCCGATATATAGCACTAGCGCCCAAAATGTTCCCCTTTACCCTAGTTTTCATTCCTTTACTTTTTTCCATCTTTCAAAGCTATATTTATTTTTTAATTAACTTACACATTAAAAGACTTCACACTACAGTCCCAGTCTGGCCTTTTCCTGTTTGGGAAGTGCTTTACATTAACAAGGACAAGCATATACTCCAGGTTGCATCTGAAAATCCGATCATTGTTGCTATGTCAGGAATGTCCAGTTATTTAAAACCTTTCTTTTAACTTTAAAGGTCTTACTCAAAAGAGAGAATATATGATCTGTACAAATTATAGTGAAATGCCTTCCAGCTATTCATAACCATAACTGAATTGAATAGGTGACTTCGCTTTGATGCTGTGTCGGGTTGCTTATGCATTCTTAAAGATACTTTCTACTTTCAGGAATGATCATTTTAAATTAGTCGGAAATCTGATGGGAAGCAATATTGCTGGATGATACATGGTGAAAATTAAATGGAATATGTTTACATTGCTCCTGTATATTGATGATGATTAAATAGGTTACTTTTAGGTCATTTTCGCACTATTGATTAAATAGTTTTCTCATCATTTTGTGTGTGTTTGTCATATGTATGACATTTGGGTACGTTTTTCCTTATATTCTAAGCCTAAATCATCTACTTTTAAAAACAGATATCAAAATATTTGGTAGGCACTACCTCTTAACTCATGATGGGGCCAGGATAGCCGTCTGACTTGAACGTGCTTGCGTAACATATTATTTCAAATCCTTTTCTTTCTTTTCCTACGGTGGTATTTATTTTTACAAATCTATTTCCAAGCTTTCAAATTGTGTTGATTCTGTTTATCCCATCAAATTTTACACGATGTAAAGTATCAGTGTCATTTGATTTCTTCGTGTATTGGAATTGTTTTTGATTAAGCCAAGCATAAATTAAGCAGAGTCGGGTCAATACCTTAAAATACATTAGTGTTGCTATGTTAGGAATCTCTGGTTATCTACGGCCTTTATTGATCTGTGTCGAAAAATGGGACTCATACAAATAGCAAACCAAATGTACCAGCTAATAAAAATGAATGAAAAAAAATTCTATTCATTGGTGGGTGATGTATTGAAATTTGTACACCCTTACCTTGTCGATCTGGAGCCCTCTGGAGGCGAAGGATTACATTCACCTGCTACAAGATAATATTAATGTTTTTCGATTGTGAGAAGTCAACTGCTGTTAGATCGGATGAACAATTGGCTTGCCCGAAATAGCAACACTTACTCGATACAATCTCCATTCCGAATGATTGCGGTGATGATTGGATTATCGCTATGCACTTTTAAAGGAAGTGATTTGCCTACATTCCGCGTTCTTCTAGGTAGGACAAGTCATGTTTGTCCTACCTAGCAACAATTAATGTTGCAATTATTTCTGACCATTGAAATAAAATTATTTGTAAATTGTGAATGAAATAATTTGTGAGATGGCACTTCACAAAGATTTATGCATTACATTTGGTTGCATCACGAAATTTCAAATCTAATAATCAGCACAATGTAATTGCCACCACAAAGGGGAACGACACGTATTTTAAATCGTAGGCTCATATATATATATATATATATATATATATATATATATATATATATATATATATATATATATATATATAACCATCTATTAGCAACTGATTATATCTTCTCTTTAGGTCACTATGATCAGGAATTGTTGTCTATTCTACCTTTTAAAAGCCTTTAAATCATCATTTAGATATAAAACTGATAATGTACAACTCTTAAAAATAGGCCTAATGTACTATTCTTAAATATAGTTACAGGCTTATAAATATGATGGTCCAATTATCATTGTGTTTATTCATAATTTTGTCTATTGTATTGTATTGTATTGTTATTCCTTTACGTCTTAATTTAACCATTCAAATTTGTCTAGCGTCGATTGAGGTGGTAGGGGGAGGGTATGGAGGAAACGTAGACGTCACCTGCGTTAAAAGTCTCTCCTTTTTGCAGCGACTGTGAGTATTAACGCCCTCTATAGATCTAAGCAGAATAATGTTTCTTATATTTACCGGCAAATTCAAGAGGAGTTCCAAAGTCAAACGTAAGTTAAAGACACTCTTTCATTTTCAAAGTGGTACATTTATAACTCCTTGTAGTTGGTAGAATCCATGAATATTTTCAGACGTTGTTTTTATTTAAAAAGATTCAGATGATGGACATCAAAAACTAATTTGAAATTTTGAAATCTGTGTCACCTTATCCCACATACTTATGTTGATGTTTGTAGAAAATGTAACAATCTCAATGCCGCAATGCAATGCAATGCCGTCTTCATGGTTTGTTTAAAGTTGTTTTATAACAATATCGATATTTAATTGTGACGGTACTTGTATGATTTTTCTTATTATTATAACTTTATCGTATTGATTTGTTGATTTCAAACCATTTTTTAAATTTAATGCAGTGAATGTATCAACTTCCTTTTCCTAATCAGTATTGAGTGATTTCAAGTACGGTGTTCGAGGTTGGTGTCAGTGTTGAGAGCGTGGAAAGGCTGCTGAACCGAGCTCCAACACCAACAGTCAGTTTAGATGGACGATACCAATCAAGCGTGCGCATTATCGATAGCTCAACACCAGCCTCATCCTGAGTGACGTCCTACTTTACACATGAAAAGTCTTGCGATTAAAGCATAATCCATTCAGAAAATCCAATAAATTACATCGTATCAAATATAAAATATAAAGTAATATTAGAAGATTAATAGATAAAATGATTTACAGCTGTTTTGACTGTACAGTGGATTTTACCTTGGCATGATCGTGAGATTCGTGCCAGATGTCCGCATAGTTACCTGTGGTATACTGCAACACCAACACCAACACCAAACTTGAAATTATGAATTTCCCAATCCCTAGGGCTGGTGCTGGTGTGAGTCAATGGGAAAATTACACGTAAATCGTCAACACCAACCACGATACTTGGTTCAGCAGACGACATTTAACACCAGCCCTCAACACAGACTAGCGGAAATACGTCATATTTCCTGAGGTCAATCCCAACACCAGCCTGATTTCAAATTTGGTGTTGTAGCCGGTTTTCAACACCAGCTTTCAACACCGAACTTGAAATCACTCAGTATTGTGAGCCCCCAGTGGTCAATACACGTTTCAACTACTTACTTGTGTGATTCTGACCTAGATCTAGGTTCAGCATTCATTTTCATTTTGGAAAAGGAATTCTGAAAAAAAAACTTCTTGATCGATGAAAATACAATTCCATTGCAATATGCAAGCGCATAGAGAATTTATTATTATGCGCGATATAAAAATGACTTTAGTATTAATATTCAATTATGTTACTTCTCCATATTGTAGGTTTAATATGCAAATGAAACAGCTAAATGCAACAAAATGCAGTGCAGAGAAAAACAGGTAGGTTTCATTAACTATATATTTTATGCTAAAATGTGCAGCAGTAGAGTGAATATTTAGCTAATAATTAACTAAGTATGATGTGTGATAGAGAATTTCCTAGTAAATGTGCATGCACTAACAATAAATGATTTAATGATGTCTGTTTGACACTTTTTGTCATTGAAATGCTAATTGATAATATTCATTTACTGGTATCTTTAAGTTTAATCAAGTTAAGCATTTTTTGTTGTTGTAGGTTTACATCCTTGAGACCAGTAAGCCCATCATCCATCCGCTCAGGCTATTCTCTTTACTCCACGGATACCGATGATCAAGTGATGAGTACTCATAGAGGTCTAGATAGGTGTGCTGCTTTACTGGCTAACATGATGGAGAGTGAGGGAATAGGTACGTTGGGAGGAGAGCTCGAGAGGGGCATGATTAGCTCTTGAATTACCAGGCATAACCATAAGACTGCTGCTGCTTTTTATGATGTGCTGTTGGTTTGGTTATTAAACTCATTCATCTCTTTACAACCAGGACATAAATGATTTGGGAAATATTTTTAAAATGTTCAATTGAATTTTGTATGCAGATGACACCAGCTTGTGCATGTCTCACCAAAATATTGATGCTTTACAAAATGTTTTTATTAATGAACTGAAATATGTATCTGACTGGCTAATTGTCAATAAATTAAATATAAATGTTAGAAAATCAAATGTTATGGTTTTTACGAAGAAAAATAAAGCCTCTTTCAAAATTGATGTCTATTTAAATGAGATGCCCGTCATTGAAGTTAAACTTGCTACCTTTCTAGGTGTCACTGTTGACAGTAGGTTAACATGGAATGAACATGCTGGTGCCGTCTGCAATAAGATTGCCTAAAACATTGGAATTATATATAAAATTCATATGTTGCCTAAGAGAATTCTTCTAATATTGTATAATATTCTGATTTTACCTTACTTATATTATTGTAATATAGCCTTGGGTCATACTTTCCAAATACATATTGATATTTTATGTCAGTCTATCTATCCTTTGACCTCCCAGAAAATGTCCCTACGAAACTGGAGAGAGGTGTTAGGAGCAAGCTAGGGGGCATGTCCCATACAAACCAGCAGAATAAACAGACCACCAAGCAGAAAGTTCCTGTTACAAAGACGAGAGTAAAGACAACGTCAATACAGAAGAAACCTGTTCGGTCTGGTAAGAATGATAATAGACTACAGAGAAATTGTATTTGGAAGTACTACTTAAATATTGTAAACCAAGTTCATGCAGATATAAGCACAATAATAATCATTTTGTATTTGTATGTAAAACAAGGATTATTATCATGAGCATAACTTGCACAATATCTGACAGAAGCTGAAAAAGTGAATATAATCACGGTTGCCCTGAGGTGATTGGCTCCCTTATATATGATGGAAATAGACAGGTGAAAATTATGAAATTAGATGGTCAATTATAATGACACAGTGTGTAAGACATTTCCCATTAAACCAATAAATTTGACCCATTCTTATTGTGTATTTTGTAAACCGTGTACCACTATTTTCTACATGCTAATTAGTAAGTTGGACGTCTGTTTACATTTGTTGACTTTATTTTTATTTCATTTTAATTTCACTTATTTTTTTTTGTGCAGGCTCTTTAAAAGAAAAGAAGCAGACAGGAAGAAGGTCTTTCAATCAGAAATTAGTCTCGTCAACGCCAAACCAAAAACATACAAAGCTCAACAAAGCAGAACAAAAGAAGCAAGGCAGTGATAGGATGCATTCTAAGGATACACACAGAGACAGAACGGATGTTTATACAGAGAAAGAGGTAACAGACAAAGCTCATCCAAGAATTCCTGCAAGGGTTTCTCCAGGAAACAAGGAGAACTTTCCTTTATCAAAGCAACCATCGCAGAGAGGGAATGGCCCAAAACAATTCATTGAAACATACGATGTAACACCACAGGTACTGAATGATAATGTTATCACTAAGACAAGAGTAAGGACAGAAGTCGTCAAGAACCCAGCTATAAGACATGAGGTAGCCAGAGTGAATGAGAAGCCACAGCGTAATGCAGCATCCTCAAGGCAAGGTAGTACTGTTCAAAGTCGATTGAATGAAGAACAGACCTATGTAGAAAGGGACTATGTCATGTTACAGCCTCAGCATGTAGGAATCACTAGACAGGAACAGCAGTGGACTGAGTTGCCTCAAGAGGTTAATGGACAGACTGGACACATTACTGGTACTGTGAATTACACAGACCCTAACACTCAACCATGGGTTAGTCGTATAGATATGGACCCTGTGAGAATCACTCCTGATAATCTACGTAGTGCAGGAACACAAAACATTCATCACCTGCAACAACATGACCATCACCACTATAAGCAGCATCAAGATCAGCTGGACCCTCATGCTCCTCATCCTCAGGGTCATGCAGTAGAGAGTCAGTTGGCTGCAGCTGCATGGGAAAACTCAAGAACAGGTCCAGGTTTACAATCATCAAGGAATCTTGACTCACATCTGGAGAGTGGTGTGAGACAGGGTCTAGTCAGTGATGGCATGGGACCAGTGCAAACAACTCAATCCATCTTGAGAGACTTGGTGGGCAAACTCCAAAAGATGAATGAAAGTCAGATACAAACTCCACAAACTCAGCTCTCGCACCCCTCTCCTGGTAGTGGAGTGACCCAGAACAATATCAGTCATACACATCAACAGATGGGACATGGATCAAAGAATGTCAGCAGGAGGGGTGTGGATCATAATGTAAGAGAACAAGATGAGAGAATGCAAGATATGTTATCATTGGATAGAAACTTTGCCAAGCACAGTACAGTCCATCATGCATCCAGATCCGGGAGCCATGGGATTAGCCTAGGAGCCAGTGCTGTAGGAACACACAATGCAGATCCTCAAAGTAGAGCTGAGCAGCTAGAGCCAGTCAGGGATTCTGGTCGGTCATGTGATCATAAATCTACCAATCAAAGTCCAGGATCTCTTGTGACACAGATGCAAAGAGTTTCTCATGAGGTTGCTAAAGATCCCATAGATGCCGTGATAGATACAGGTAAGAGATGCACCTTGAGGGAACCTGGGGTGTTTCACAGAACTTGTCATCAGTGAAAAATGACAGTTTTTGTTATAAGCTACTGAAATCCTTGTTTCTGATTGGTTATCAGCAGATTTGTCACTGATTTTAGTCATTTGTCATTGAAAAAGGCTTTGTGAAATGGTTCCCTGGTACACTTACTTGTATTCACTAGCATCACAGTGTTTTGCTTCCTCCAGGCAACCTGTCATTATTCGTTATTTGTCTCTATGTCAATTCCCACCAGTTAGAAAAAAAGGAGATTGTGAGATGCAGTTACCATTTTATGTGACAACTTGTAATACTTCCTTCCCACAAGTTTGCCAATTTATCTGAAGTTGATATGTTATATTTCCTCACACTCGATCAGTGCATACTAAAAAGCAAACACAAGCATTACATTCCATTACTCTCATTGACTGATTGCCTTTTTGCATTTTTCATAAGCAAAGCTAAGTGGTATTTGAATACCTGTATGATGCTGATGATCTTTACTGTAATGAAATATACCTTGGAAGTAGGCATGTAAAGTTTATTATTACTCGTATCAGACATCTGAGCTAGTCATTTACAAAACTGTATTGCCCTAGTTTTCATTAGCAGTGGGAACAGAGGGGTATATTCTTTGTATTTTCCTTGGTCTCCCTACCCGTGTTGACTTTGCGTGTAGAGATGAGTGGAAATATACCTTTGTATTTTCCACGGTCTCGCATCCGGGCACTTGTATTGACCGCACCGTACTTTGACATTCCCATTGCGCATCTATTATGCGTACGAGAACCTGCCCACTTTGCACGCACTATGTTGTGACTAATAATCACACCAAATGCACGCTGTTTGCAGTGTATCAAAAATTTTGTCAAGCACTGGATGCACAGTACTGGTTTGACAAAGTTTGTTCAGTTCGTTGAGATTATCATGGTGGATTTCTGTATTTGCTCTAGATATCTGATTTGGATAACAATAAAAATATTGACTGGCTTTACTTTCGAGGGATATCAGAAATATTGACCGCGCTAAGACCATATTGCCCTCGTCTTTCGACTCGGGGGCAATATGATTTGAGCTTGGTCAATATTTCAGATATACCCCTCAACGCCAGTCAATATTATATAATAATACATTATTTGCCTCTCTTTGACATTGAAACTTCTTCATTCCAAGGTACTCCCAAGCCACATACATCTCCTAAAGGTCATCAGGTCAAAGATGATGTTGGTGTTCAGACCCCGCCCTTCAGCTCTCGCCCTCCGGTTGTCATGACTGGTACCAAAGGTAGCAATGCATTATGGGATCAGGTACGGACTTTGAAGTATATTACTAAGGAGCTCCATTCGGCCAACATGAAAATTGGTGAGATGCTGGCTTTCAACCTAATAATCCACTTGCTTATATTTTTTATATTTTCACTTTTCTTTTTGTCTTGTTTCTTCAACTGTTTTCTCTCCCTTCTCTATGTATCTCTGTTCATGCACAGGGTTCATAAAAAAGAATTCTCGTCCTCTTTTTTTGGTCATTTTTATTACTGATTGTGCTTCTTTTTTCACTTTTCATTTTCTTTTTTCCCCTATGTACAATCTATTGTAAAGTAGTTAATAATTTGTTTTACAGTAAACATTCATTTATGACTTGGGATTATATTCTCCTTAGCTGACAGATGCTCCATGTAGACCTAAATATTTAATATTATATCTGGTGCATTGCTGGTATATTCAGTTTATAGACTTTGTGGCAGATTAGCCTGATGCTAAACAAGTTATCCAATAAAGTCTACTACTACTACTACTAGTACTACTTGACTTGTAATGGTACTTGAAAAGTTTGATTAAATGTGGACCTAGATATAAAACAAAAAATTGAAGAAGAAAAAAAATCAGACACATGTCAGCACATTCATTCTTTATGTTAAACTGAACTACCTTGTTATATGACCCCATTGTATTGACCTCATTTCTGTAGGTGACGTGCAAACTCAAGAGCTTTTGACGGAGCTAGAGGAAGTAGTTGAGACATTACCATTCACCAGCCTGGATAGAGATCTACAAACAGAGATTAGTCTGGCTCTTCAACCAATCAGAAGTGAGAATAGTCAGCTTAGGAGAAGGCTAAGAATAGCCAATCAGCAACTCAGGCAGATCCAACTTCAAGCACAGGCAAAGGAAAACAGCCAATCAGGTGTCAGTTTAGAAGGTTGGCAATGCTTTCTTTGTTACATTACTAGTATATCTTAATCTGTTACAATAATGATATCTTATTAAATAGGACCAAAACAGATAATGCAAAATTTTCATTGTCACCAATACCTTGTGATGACCAATTCTTTGTATATAAGAAAACATTCTTACCGGTACCTTGTTAATTGCCTCCAAATGAGAAATTTAGCCTAATAAAAAATAAATAAAGACACACCGACTAACTGAATTTATGAGACATTTTAGAGCGAGTGCCATGAGCACCCAGCAGAGGAGATTGTCCACATTATACTAGAATCTGTTATCATATGTGGATCCCTGTGATAAGCATATTAAAGTCTATTATTAACTTTGTATTTTGTTTCATTGACAGTATTGACTCTGCAGTCTTTGAATGTAAACCTACAGAAGCAAGTAGAAGAACTCCAAAGTGAGACAGACAGACAAACACGAGATATGACTGAGTTAAGAGCTTCTCTAGATGCACTCAATGTTGATAAACACAACATGCAAGACATCTTCATGAAAATGGTAAGGTATGACATAAAAAATTGTTATCCCTGCAGTCATTTCATGATAAGTTTGATTTGACAATACAGACGAGTGCAATATCCTCTACATACATTTAAAATACTGAGATTGTGTGTTTGTATTTGTTTTATTTATCATAAAACATCAAAACATTGGAATTTGTTGTTAATGGTTGGGTCTGTACATTAGTATGGTTTTATTCAAAACTGCCTTCAAATTGCCAAGAGAGGGCAGTATGATAGTCTTAGGAGAGGAATGCATCAATGTTAGCACCATTTGAGTTAGGATTTCATTCAGCCTGACAGTTGCAATGAAATTGTACAGTGTGGTTAATATGTCGGTACCAATTTCTAAAGCAGAGACAAAATGTAGATGTTATAAAATATTTCTTGCTGGTCCAAAGTAATTTTCATGGTAAATAAGTGAACATAATCAATACAATCATATGAATATAACAGAGAAAAGGAAAAGAAGAGACTATGACTACCATATGTTAAAGTAATTGAATTAATATTTATTTACTAGGACAATGATCTAAAGGAGAAAAGGAAAAGCTGGACTCTGGAGACAAGCACACTACGTCAAGAGATGATTAAGCTGAAATCTCAACTTGAATCTGAGGGTCTTAGAACCGAGTCCATTGAAAAAGAGAAGGAGATTTTAATATTGAGTGTCAAGCAAAGAGACTCAGAGATCAAACGGTTACAACAGATGACAAGGTAAAGAATGGTTTGAGAGAGGTTAGCGGTTACACCACGTATTCTTTTGACATTGTTGTTAAAGAATGGATAGACAATGGGTTTTCTTTGTGCAAAGTTTCTCATGCATTGACCCATTGCCTATAGGAAACAGATGATTTCTGTGTTAGGTAAGCCTATGAAAATGAGAGGATTTGGTAGTTGACATTCCTGGCGCTCCTGATTATCACCCTGGCTTTAGCATGGCTGCCATTACGGCGCTCTAGCATTTCAAGGAATTAATTCCTGCCAGGTATCCATTTACATCACCTGGGTTGAGTGTGGGAAATGTAGATCAATGACTTGCCAAAGGAAATTAGTGCCGCGGTGGGACTCGAACCTTGTGATCCACAGTCCGGTGACCTATCCACTTGACCACAACGCCTCTAAATGAGTGACGTTTCGGGATGAAAAAGTTGCGCACAACGAAGGTCCTATTTATCCATGTGCTACAACATTAGATACCCTTTAAAAAAACACAGTGGCAAACCACCATGGTTAAAGTGAAGGTTGAGTTCTGGGAAGAGGTGAAAAATAATATGTGAGTGTTATCATTCTTATTATACAAGTGTGGAAGAACATAAGATAACAAAATGATCCCTGAAAAGCATGGCTCTTCAAATGCCTTAATATTCTAAATATGGCATGTATTAAACAGCATAAAAATTGGGACAGATTTTTATGCCACATGTTCGTGTAGGCCAATATACACATTTCTGTGTACAGTGCGTGTAACTTTACTAAGACTGGACCAAATTTCTTATCATTTTGATGATTCCAGAACCTTGCAGTACACACCAGTACCTAAATGCTTGATGATCAACCTTTTCTGATCGATTCCACAATGTTTCTTTCACAATGCAATCGCATGACCAGAACTCAACTTCATCTTTATGTATGGCATATAGATGTGAACAAGCCTTTATATCTTGTTTTTGTTTCTCACAGGAATATGCAGGGAATCTTATTGAGTGTAGTACCTGAGAAATCTTTGAAATCTTCCATTCCTGGTGAAAGCAGGGAATCTAGACTTGAGAATTGGTTAGAGAATCATCAATCGGCCATCAGTACACCAAGGAGCATAAATAGGTATGTCCTATAGATACGATTGACTCTAACACTACAAAAGACATTGAAATATTTCCAATGCACATTTATATTCATGCAGTACAGATAATCTTGAACTCCTATTTAAGTCCAAATGTGATTTGTGTAGAAAACATTCCCATATATACTCATAAATACTCATAAATACACATTATTTCTATTAAATATCATCAGAAAAATCACCAAAACATAAAAGTACATGTAATTTTACATCATCTTCATTTATATTCTCCATGGTCATTATATGTTACATATTTATTTATTCAATTTCCATTTTCTATCCCTTTCTCATTATTCATCCTATATTAAACAATAGCTTACAGTCAATAATATAACTGTTGGTTATCATTCTGATCATATTCCTTCTGTCAAGAGTTTTCTTTTTCTACCTACCTCTTTATTCACTAGCACCTAGTCCATTCATTCTATCACAACCTCCGTCCGTTGATGACTGTAATTCAACTCTGTATTGTGTTATTTATCCGCAAATGAAAATGCATATTTACCTTGGGATTATACAGAGTAGTTTCAGTTATGATAAATTCAAGGTTTGTTGTACCTCGCATTTAACAAACATGTTACAAAAATAAAGTGCATTATTTGGTACTTTTGTTTTATATTATAACATTTTAAAGCTTATCTGCCGTAGTTTACAGGATGGATTATACCGCTCTGCAAGGTCACTGGACAGGTGGTTATCTCATCAACTCAGCTCTCAGTTAACATAAGAAAAAGAGGATCATGGGGGACCAATGGTCACCGATTAGGCATTGTTTGTTATATAGAGGGCGCAAGTAGCTACCAGTACTGCAGTAGGCCTTTAAAAAGAGGTACATGTACATGTATTTCTTGAAATGCCAGAATTTGAAGGCACTATTTCATATTTCTAATGATATCCTGCGATCTACTGTAAACTGTTAAATTAGATATAATGGGAAAGCTGTTTAATTTGAATCTATAGCATAACATGTATTAGTATGCATAAACTTCATGTTGTATTTCTTGCAAAGACTTCTGTTGAAGGAGAAAAAAAGGTTATGGAATGTATTACATTTCAAAGGTCGAGGGAAGCATTAATTATTAACCATCACACTTTTTTTTATTACTGGTAACCTAAATTAACTCTTGTGTTCTTAGATTTATAATAGAAGTATGAAGTGTCTTTATATAACCTATTATGAAATCCAGTATCAAACAAGGAAATAAAACACTGTATACATGGGTTCTACGTGTATATACCTACCAGCCAAAATCCTATTTGACAGAGTGTGTGTTATTGTGTATTTTCTGAAAGGAAGCCTGAAGTCAAGAATCTCACACTTATTATGCTGGTAGTATCACACAACAATGGAGTACTAGCTAGTCACATGGTCACTCTTGACAAATTAGGTGTATTTTATGATTTAGAGTGAAATGTATAAGTACCTATTATGTAGTACTGTTGTCTAAGTATTTTCATATATTCTCTCTTGAGTTCATTTGAGAATGGACAGTTGAGTCATTAAGTGATTTGCTGTAACAGTGTGTGCTCTACTATACAGTAGAGTGTAATAGTCAAGTGGTTGGAATACTAGTAGGATAGGGGTTCAAGCCTCAACAATCACATATCACCTTACAGGTCAGGTCAAGATGTCAAATGTAAATTACACTAAAACTAAACGTGATGAATAGTTCCTTATCTTGTTCCACACTAATGAAAAGAGAGGTGTGTAAAAGATTCTCAAACACAGTTCACATTTTGTATGGATTTTTGAGAGATTAATGCTAGTCTGAATTGTGCAGCAACCATTGTTGCATCTTGCCAAGCCTAGCATCACAATCAAATTGCCACTCGTTCCTTCGATAGGACACATATCAAACCTACCAAACACACTTGAATGTGAATGCGAAACTTGGACCAAATTTTCTGAAATCACATATGTAATATATACTGTCTTTAGACTAACTTTAAGCCCAACATGTTTCAAATGGGAACTTCTTTAAAGACCGTCAATACTACTGGGCCAGAAGGGATTAGACCACTCAGCGAGGTCACTGACAGGTGGCTATCTCATTAAATCAGCTCTCAACTAACATAAGAAAAAGAGGATCATGGGGGACCAACAGGCACCGATTGGGGAAGTTTTCTATATAGAGGGAGCAAGTAGCTACAAGTAGGACAGTGGGGCTTTAATATGAAACAAAAAATTAAAATAAAACTTGTCACCACATTTTTTTCCCATACAAGAACCGTCTCTTAATGGATTTCATTTTATATTTGTTGTCTCTCTCTATGCATTTGGTGAATTGTGTTTCTGGCAGGGTTTTTATTGTAGCTTAGGAGTGGGCCTGTAGAATAGGGACTGATTGGAATGCTATAATTGTTTGTCTTTTTTGTAATTCACAAGCAGCACCCCCTAATAATACCAGTAGTTTTTGTATTCAGCTTCAACACCATTGAGCAAAGACAAAGTAATATGAGAGTGAAAGAAAATCCAGTAATGCGTGGTCATATAAACAGCTCATTTGAGTGTCCATTAATCTTTATATAATGATTCATGTTAGTTTAATAGATCAGCAAGATATTGTAAAACAGCATCTGAGGAACTAACACTTCAACAAGCTCTTTTCTCGTGCTTTTTTTGCTCCATTATATTTGTTTTGCATGAGAAATAAAATCATTTGAATCATATATGGGGAGGGGGGGGGGATACTTCCACAAGATGCTAGTCTTAGTTGCCTTTAGGCTTCATCTGTCGAGATATCCAACATCAAAGTAATCATTTGTCTTTTTTTAAAACTTTAATTAAACAAAATTGGCAGTAGTTTGCCTTTGAAAGTGAGACTAATAATAAGGTTTTGAGTACGTACTTAATAAAAATTAATCACTTTGCATTGTACAAGCAATGTCATGCCTAATTGCAGTTATACAATGATTGTAGCTTCTTTCACATTATAACAATATAGTACTGGTTGTTATTTTACAGCATTCATGTACAGTGTATGCTACTGCAATATTAATTAAAAGATGATAATGAATGTATGACAGTAAAGGTGTTTTTTATTGCTCTGTTAGTATTGTTCTTTGTAATACTATAGTTTGCTTCTTTTTTTTCCCATTAAGTTATTGCCGATTCTGGTATACTTTCTTCTCTTCTTCCTACTTTTTTCTTCTTCTTCTTCTTCAAATTTAGGAATGATATGACGGACAGCCTCCATCAAACAGCATGGAGACAAGGTCAAAGGTCACCACATGACTCCATGTCATCCTCATCCTCATCCTCATCGTCTAGAGGGGGTCATTATATCAAGCTCTCATCTCCTGATGCATTACACAGAGATGATTGGAGGAAGATAGTTTCTGATCAACGAGGCTGTCTGGACGGTCATCATGTTATTAGTGGAGGAGGGGAAAGACATAAATCATCCCAACTAGAAGCTACATTTGGTGCTGATGGACGATGTGATGATTTGGACTCCACTCTTGTCGGAGATACTTTAGATGGTGATGGGACTGCGTATATGAGCTTTGCTGATCCTCAACTTGGCAGCAGAAAGCCATGGATATTTCAGGCATCTCATAGACCTTCACCTGGCGGTGGCACGCCTAGCTGGGTAGAAAAAGAGTTATCACCAGCTACAAAGTCAGGAAGAAAGCACATTGGCAGTGACAAGACTGTTCATGTTTCTGATAGCCTAGGTAGGACAGGGAATGAGAATGATAGGAGATCACCACCACCATATAAAGGGAGAATTGATTCAAGGTTGAGAAAGAGTGAAGATCAAGCTAGAGACTCGGAGAGAGACCTTGGTAGAATATTCAATGCAGCAGAAGTAGGTTCAGTTGTATCAGAATCTACAATATCATCCATAGCATCACAGTATGAAGCTCAGTTTCAAGTGGGTTTATCAAAGCTTGATGATGATATTGCTAGATTACAGCAGAACTTAAAGGGATTAGTTCAAAGATAATACATCTTTAGAAATTGCAAATGCTATTTTCTTTTTGAATGATGACAACATTGTGTTTCTTATTTATCATAGACTTGTAGAAATATGTTATACAGTTAAATACCAAATACTAGTTTTATGTAAATCAATCCTGTTTTCATGTATTATATTCATATTTAAACCAAAGATATGAGTTGAAATGAGACTGTATGTCTCTCAGTATTTTCCTCCATGTTAGAATTATCAAATACAATCACTCATTTATTGAGGACTTCTTGCCTTTTGATAAATAGTTTCACAGTTGCTTGAAGGATAGTATTATACATTATTCATTTTACTTCTATTTCCATCTTCCTTTCTGCAGAGAACTTGATCTTAGATTGTCAATTAGCTTGAGATTCTATTCTTGTACTTGAATTGAATTTATTATCTTTATTGGAATAGTACATTAATATTTTGTTTTGCATAAAAAATATTTTATTGATTGGTCATTGTATTCATTCTCTATATGACTATATCCCTTTGCCATGCAAACAATTTCTATGTCACTTGATATAATTCTCTTTAATAATTTACTACAGCCCCTCCAAGATGAATACATTTTTAGTACCGGTATATGTATAATTTACTATGTACCCCCCTCCCCCCCCCCCCTGGTAATTCATATATTCTGAAATAAGTTTCTTGACGAACTCGCAATTCTATAAATGAATCATATATAATAATATAGATTTGTGACTATTTTATGTATTGCAATAATGTGTAAGGAAGGGCGCAGTTTGCGGGAGTCCTCCGCTAGACAACTTCTTGAATATTGTGATGTCATTGGTTGTTTTTCTGTACTGGATTTGAATTCTTCTAATGTTGTCCCTATTAGTGTCATCGATTATACAGAGATGTGTTATTAAATACGTGTAGATGATTCAACAGAGAGCATTTTCTGAAATATGTTTTGGTAAATCCCAGTCTGTTGATTTGTAATGCCAATCGTCCTAAGCTATTCTCATGGAAATGAAAGTTTTCATTCTAAGTCATTTCCCTTTACCCATATATTTTCGTGCCATGCTTTCAGTGCTGGGGATATTGTATTCATCAATAAAAGTTTGTCTGAAACTGCAATATAATTTAAAAGAGCTAATTTCTTACCGGTCAATATCCATATGGGCTTGTGAGAAAATACTGCTAGTTAGTGCAGGGCATTTCCACATCTGAAAAATTTGCACAATGAGAGAAAAACAGATTCTGCATTAATCTGCAATAATGTTAATTTGAGTGTAAAATTATGTTGACAATATGGAGCAGAACACAAACTTTCAATGAGTTTTCTAAGTGAAATGTTTGAAGTTGGAAGATAGAACACTAAATTTGCCCAAACTACAAGTTAGTTCTATAACTGATGTTAATTTAATATTATCGGTCTTCCAAGTGCAGAGAACTGTATTTTCATTTTTTTTTTAATTTATGATATATAATTATATTTAAGTCTATCATTAGACTTTACAATATTAGTTCTATCAGTCAGTAGGGTGGTACAATAATCAGTGCCATGAAAAAGTATGACAAAATAAGCTATGTAAAGTCTCTTACTGATGCCCATGATGAATGGCCTTGGCCCTTACATATACAGTAATAAGATACAATCACGTATCCTATGTTGCTATTGCATTACACCAGCACATTATTCATTGTCTTAAAACAGGATTCTCCTGTTTTAGAGGAAGGAAATAATGCAATAAAAGGGAAATTGAAGAAAGGAGTATGATGTAGAGGGGTGAGAGAGAGAGAGAGAGAGAGACAGATAGACAGAGAGAGAGAGAGAGAGAGAGAGAGAGAGAGAAAGAGAGAGAGAGAGAGAGAGAGAGAGAGAGAGAGAGAGAGAGAGAGAGAAAGAGAGAGAGAGAGAGAGAGAGAAAAGAGAGAGAGAGAGAGAGAGGGAATGGGAGAGAGATAGAAAAACTTTTTTTTTTAAAACTTGGAGGGGGGGGGGGTGAAGATAAATACAAGGGTGATAGAGAAGGAGAGTTAAAGGGGAAATCCACCCTGACACGTTCGTTTTAATAGAAGCAGACAAATCAGTGGAACCATTACAAAATTAGAAAGTTATACATTGTTAAAGGTACGATCAATCAAACACAAATTTGCAAGAAGACCTATGTGACATATTTTGCAAGCTCCCCTCCCATTTGCTGTGTAAAATTTTCAATTATACTTTCACCCTAACGAATTTTTACAAAAATGTTTTATAAAAACCCCTGTGTAAAGCATATCTATATATCAATAACTTATGAAATGAAAGTTTATGACATTTTCTGTACAGAGAATTGCAGAGAACCTCTTTTCATGTTGCCCATGCCCGATCGACATGTACGTGTACTGCCTCCCATAACAGCTCATAAAATTGCCTGAGATCTTTCATGTACTAATAATGATACTAAAAATAATAGTAATACCCCCCAAAATGCAATGACGAGAGAAAAGAACGTCCATGACTAGAAATATCTGAATACCGGTATACGTGCATGAACACTGTTATTTACACCATTTTGGCACAAACATTTACCTTATTGACAATGCAAATGAAGTCACGAGGTTTAGGGCATGACGTCATTCGATCCTTGAATCATAAGCCTGAAAATAACTCTACGCAATCACAAGCATGAGTTCATGATCGTCTGACGTTATAATTATGTTGATTATAGAAATATGATGTATCATAATTGATATTAATATATGTTCCATTATATTATTATCCAGGAATTCTTTCTTTTTATCTGAAAAAATTGATCATGAGTTCAGTGGAGATGAATAAATTAGTTATCCATGTTAGGATAGCAAAATGCACGACATAAATATACAATGTATGAGCAGGAAGGTGTAAGAGCAAACTGCCCGTCTAATCTAGTGCAGCCCCCAGAGATTGAGGTGATCAAGGCCGGGTTACTCGTTTTTCGGAGGGTTCATTTTTTCGAAGGTTCATAATTCCGAAACGCAAATCTACCCTGCCAGGTTCATAATTCTGTAGGTTCGTAATCATAAAACCTCTAACTGTAAGTTCGGGAAGCGGTTATTCCCCTGTGATGTAATGGTTTTAAAATAAACACAACATAGAAATTTCATACTTCTTTTATGATGGCAATTCTAATCATTTTATGCCGCGATTAACTATAATGTTATTCACTTTTCATTAATTGATACACCTATGCAATTAAGCAGCCAGTAACATCAATAAGGGTGACACTTTTTTTCTCCATATAGTTAAGTTTATTTCTTTATCAAAAAATCACACCCGTCATCAGACGGCCGGCCTATAAGAAGGCCTACGAGTGATACATCAAACAATAATATAGTCATGAAGAATTTGACATGGCCGGTAACATATAGTATAAATATAACATAATCACACACGCAGAAAAAATATTCATGTATTACAGCGTAATAAAGGTTTTATGTACATGTATTATGTATGTATGTATATTGGGATTGAGAGGCGACATATTGAATAGAGCTATAACAAGCTCGATCGGGCACTGTTCTGAAAATATTCAAATACTGTAACAGTAAAATTGCCGAATCAGAAAGAGAAAGCACAGAACACATATTTATAGTCATAATTAAATATATTTACCCTTCAAATAAACCACAAGATATTTATGTAAAGAAAGATCTATATATTTCTGATTTGCGTAGGAAAATAAATGTTCTCTATTTGCACATCTCGAACTCTCGGCAGCTATGATGGAGTATGATTAAGTTCAAATGCATATATAAATTGCATACAAAGGGTAATTCAGAATTGCACTACACGTAGGAGAAGCAGTGAATTCTTTCTCTATACAGAACTACATTGGTGTCTATACATATCTTTTGGCAGTGTTTGTGAGGGAGTCTCTATCGACAAGATCATTCAAAATGGCAAGAGTAGGAATGCAATGGATGAAGTACTGCTTGTTTATCTTCACTTTTGTATTTGTCGTAAGTAATTTTAGACCAAAAAAAAATTGAAACGAGTCAGGGAGCCGAGGTCACATGTATTGGTGGTTACAATAAGTCACAATGAATGTGGCACAATGAACCCGACAAGACTCGTTCATCTGTGACCCTGCGTGCAGTTCATATTCACTAATGCATTCGCAAACATGTATTATTTATGTTATAAGATGGATCTACAATATGAGTATAAAGTCGGGGAAATGACGGTTGTTATCACCAAAATGCACTCCCCGTGCATATGGTTTTAAAAAAAATGCACGCACACGTGATCCATGCATTTCGACGCTTCTCATTGGCTAAATTCTTGAACCGGCCATTTTATAATTTACTTTATCATATCTTGTTAGCCAAAAGGGAATTATATCATATCAATTTACATAAAATCAATGCCTTACTGGTTATGATCAGAATACAGTCAGTTTTATGACAACATTCCAAAATTAAATTCAACGCATTGCAATCAGCTCAGCTCATTCCTTCAAGTTGACAATCAAACGCGAGCATCGAAGTTTACTGACAGCCCCAAAGACCGACAAACCAAAGATATACGTCAGAATGTATGTTAATAGAAGAAGAACGTTTCAAAAAGTCCAAGATACCGACAAAACAAAGGAATAGATACTAATATATGAGGGAAAATAATTATAGAAGAATAAAGTCGGTCCCTGGGCTGTATTTGCCAAAGAATTAATTTCGAAATATGAAGTATGATTGGATAATCAATCAGTTGTACCTTGGTCTCTTTGATTGCAGATCGTGGGTATTGGTTTAATCACTGCAGGCTTCCTAACCCTCACCGTCTACCAGGAGTATGTTGACTATTATTCAGGGAAAGCTATACCTGCCATTCTCATCTCAGTCGGTTTCATCATCATGTCCGTCTCATACGTAGGATGCTGTGGGGCGTTCAAGGAGAACTATAGTTTGCTGAAAACGGTAAGGTTCTCTTGCTTTCTCGGTCCTCTGTACTCTCTCAAATTTAAAGGAAAATCCGCCTTGATACTAAGTTGGTTTCAATAATTATATCAGAACATTGAGAGGAACAGGCCAGTGAAAGTTTGAGCAATTTCCGGTTAGGAATAAGAAAGTTATGAGTTTTTAAAGCTGTGATCAATCGAACACAAATTAGCAATTCTGTGACGTGTCTTGCGAGGTCCCCTCCCATTTGTTCTGTACTTACACAAAAAACAACAACAACAACAAAATCAGATATTTTAAATTTCCCACGCGCGAGAAAATGTTCAATCTTAAATGCACCCTAAATATAATTATAGTAAATATGTTTCTATAGGCCTACAACCCCTGAATGGAAACAAATTTATTCCGTGATCAATAACAAGGAAAATCAAAGTTTATGAAATTGTATGTAATCAGTTCAAATTATGTGTATATGCCGACAATACTATTAAACTTTGTAAAGATAAAGCGGTTTCACTTGTTAGAAAGAGCTACAGGTGAGAATGAATACAATCGGACAAAATAATGATTGATAAAGTCGATTAACCTTAAATATAGAGAAATCAAAATGCATGTTGATTGGGACTCGTCCAAATGTGAAGAATATAGAACTACAAATGTATTTAAAGTGTAACAAACTCAAACAAGTTAATGAATTAAAGTATCTCTGATTGATAAATTATATAGACTCTTGCCTATGTTGGAATTGTCAATGCATGATGTAATAAGTTGTCAAGAACGATTGATGTTACCAGACGCATTTGGTATCTCTTGCCCTACACTCTTATTTCCACGGAGTCAAATTTCACTCTGAATGGCGTCAGCTGGGAGTCAACTCTATTCCTAGTTAAAGTGACACGGAAAAGGAGTCATCTTGACTCTGAATTGAGTCAATTCTCAGCTGATGCCACATAATCCGAGTCAAATTGATTCGGAATCCGTGTCACTTTAACTAGGAATAGAGTTGACTCCCAGCTGACGCCATTTAGAGTGAAATTTGACTCCGTGGAAATAAGAGTGTAACGAGTTGTATTAATAATATCTAATAATCTCTTTATACCGCACATTAATGACTGTAATATATGGGACAGAGTGCAACATGCAATATTACAAGAGTTCAATAATTACAAAACCTATAGGCCTACACCTCACTATGTTACCCGAACTTTCTTGGCAATCAGTTCGTCAAAGAATTAAGTACCTAACCTGTCTATGTAAAATGTATAAAATCTAAAATGATCTCATGCCTTTGTATCTGAAACAAATTATAATTACGAGAAAGGTTTCTATTTATACACTATACAAGAAATGCGGCTAACTCCCCACTCTTAGAGAGAGAAACCCTGAGATTCGACCGTTTCAAAAGATTCCTCCACTATCAGTTAGGTTCACTGATTAGGAGCGCCTTGCCGCCTGATTTACGTGTAATATCATACTTAATAAGTCAAGAGGCGGTTGTAAACACCTTACCAATGCACTATGACAAGCAATTCGTATCCATTCATGTCGTATTAAATTTTAATATTATTTTTGGGTAAACATGTTTCAGGAGTTATGCTTTGTTTCTTTTGTTTTTCTTCTTAACCTTGTATATTGTGTATTCTTTCTTAATGTTTATGTTTTATTATTGTAATGTGTAATGTTTTGTATTTCTTTTTTATTGTACAGAAAGGGCCCCTTGGAAGAGCAATATTGAAAGGGCTACCCTAAATAAATAAATCAATCAATCATGGTATTTCTAATCGTGGGCCATTTTAGGAAATAATATGTTTTCATTGAACATCTTTTTAGTATGTTTTCATCATGGTCCTTCTTCTGATCTTGGAGCTTGCTGCCGGTATCTCTGGCTATGTCCTTCGTGATGACATTGATAAGACGGTCGGTGAGAACATGTCTGAGCTTCAGATAAAATATAACTCAACTACTTCAGCTCAACAAATCTTCGATAGCCTACAGCAGGACGTAAGTAAAAACCTGTTTCCGAATCAAAAAGTCGAAGTAAAATCAACTTTTTCACTAGGGCGGCGCCGAGGGCCGACTCCGGCCGAGGGTGCATAAACATAGCCACTCCCAGTCCCCATCACCTTGGCTCACAACGTGGAGAATCCTCCGTTCCGGTGATGTACGAAGAAAACGGGTTAATACATTTTATTTGAGACGCTGACTATAATTTTCTCACCCTCATTGATCACTGTGGTTGTTGAATCGTCTACCAGCACGTTCCTCCCAGATACTTTGAATTACTTTAGTTTTTATATTTTCCTTACTATTTTCATTCTAAAAAGTAAACAGGCGGCTTGCCGTCTCGAGTAACACACTTTTGTGTAAACTATAGTTATGAATACACACACATATTGAGCTTGATAGATACGGGGGGGGGGGGTGGTGGCATTGTACCGCTCTGTTTTACGGAAACGGAATCCTGGATCTGCCCCATATCATTTTGAAAAATGTAAACAAACACAGAGAAAATAAAATAAAAATTGACATAAAAGGCTGTAACAAATCTATTTGATTAAACATACTGTGGCGGACACGGTTTGCCACCTTGGCTTGACACGGAGTATTTGTCAGGATGCCCGTGTCTGGCCTGGTGCTCCCCGTCGTTCGTTTGGACAAAATATATGCCCGTAGCTTGATGGCTGGATTTCTTCACTGCTCTCGTCACAGGGCGTATATCAACAATCGTGCATCCTTCGACTGCAATCGGTCACCCCAATCGTTGTGCACAGCAACAGTCAATTGAACATCCTTCGAGCAATCAATCAATCAATCACCATGCTTTGTCAACTCCTGTCACTGATTCGATCTCAATGTCTAACTACGGTTTCACTGTTCTAAGAAATCAGACCAATCATGAGTTGCATGTTGAATTCTTTTAATGCGAACCAACCAACATTCAGGGTTAACTCGTTCAACAAGTACAGGTGTGGACTATAAAAGTAAGACTTCAAGTAAAGACTAAGGCCAGCGCCAACTACAAGTAGGCCAGCCTCGGTGAGGCTGGCCTGTATCGGATACAGTGCAGTGGAAAGTCCTAATCACACAATCCTGACCATCCTAAAAATTTCCCTATACATAAACGCATAAAAGAACAATTATGTCCTCGTTAGTAAAACAACACTTCAACACAACATTTCTGCTAATCCCATAAAATCTTCACATATAATCTTCAGTATAACCCCTTATTCCTGATTAGATCACTACTATACAAGTAATATCCCCAAAAGAAACATGATAATTGCACCAACATGATCAAAATATGTAATTTATGCTCATTTTCCTTCAGTTTGGTAATTGCTAAATCAACGATGCACCATATTGCTATAGCGCATGCTCGTACAACAGAAAATGCTTAACCTTTGTCCAATACTAAAACACTGATTTGTTACAATACTGTTATAACCGTGTAACTGTTTTACTACAGCTCTAAGATTGAATGTAGATTATAAGATGATTTACGTATGTTTAATCCTAACTCCGTATTATTCTCTTATGATTGTGTGATAAAGCTGAAGTGTTGCGGGGTTCATAACTACACTGATTGGATGGGCTGGATACCTGATCAACCCAACCTGGTGCCTTATTCATGCTGTAAAACACCTGATACTCCAGGATGTCATATCATTGGCTCAGTTACATTGGATATATATACAGACGTAAGAATTGAGCTTATTGAGTCAAGTATACAGTGCATGGCGTAGTGTGCGTCCACCATCTGATGGGGGCATTGGAACGATGGCCGGGATGGGGGCGGGGGCGCATCTGTCTTCCTCGGAAAATGAAGCGTCTTTTATTCTTGTCCTTGTCCATTTCCCTTTCTCTATTCTCGCCTTTTCATTTTTTCATACTATCTTCACCTATCAATATGGGGGGGGGGGCTTCGTGACCCCGTGCCCCTGTATAGATTATGGCAATCTTAAGCTGTGGATATTTTCAACCTCTTCACGTGGGACCACTATGGTAAGTTGATGAAGGCTCTTCAATCTCGTACGAGTAACGAGAGGTCTATCCCTGCCAAACATCTTTGGACAAGATATTTTCCCCACGTAATTTGTCCCTGTCGACCCCAGTGTTTATGCTGAGGTAATAATATAAGAACATATACTTGTGAAGTTGCTCCGGGTTCAGAAGACCACATTATCTCACTTTGAACAAGCTAGAGCATCAATCTCTAGTACAGATTCCAAGTCTTTATCTTTCCTCCATCAACAAGAGGTTGTTATATTATTTCGTATCAGGGGACGGCTGACAAAATTGCACGAAATTTCACAACCGGTAAAACAAAAAGAAAAAACATAATAATAATGAAAGAAAAAAGTGGTTCTCATATTTCAAAATATACCGACAGTGTGATCGTCCAATTTTTACATATTGTGTCAACAGATGTTCCAATAATTTTTATAACAAGCCATGTTTCACAACTAGACACACAATGGTGTAATCTTTATAATGTGATTCTTTTTTGCTTCTAAGGTGGGAGGACTCTTATAGTAAGATCAAAAGTTGACTTATTTGGGAAGTTTACACAAATGCGTAACGAACTTAACGACCCCTGATTTGTTTTGTGTTTAATTTCAGCCGTGCCACTCCGCAGTCAAAGATATACTGATTAATCAGACTGTACTTATTGCAGGAGTTGCCATTGGTGTGGCCGTTCTTGATGTGAGTGCATCTCAGGTTTATGCTTGCTTTCTATTTTTGTTAAATGCTCTAAAAAAGAACAGAGTCTAAACAGAGCTTCTCCGACGTAGCAACAGCAAAAATATAAGTTGGGCATATATTATAGGAGAAACACACGCCTACACTGCAAATTCATTGTGTAACGACTTTACACAACATTGGGTGGTTCACTCCTTACACAGGGGTTATGTTAAGTTGTGTAAAAGAAAATTACACAACTTTACACTGCAAATTCGTTGTGTAAAGTTGTGTAATTTGTGCGTACCCAACTTAACATAACCCCTGTGTAAGGAGTGAACCACCCAATATTGTGTAACGTCGTTATACTGCGAATTTGCAGTGTACAATATTTTTTGAGCGTACTACAAAAATACTATATTATGTTATTTTAAGCGTTGAAATCAGGAAAATGCCAGTGACTGGGAGGCGACAATAATAATGTTGAGCCAATACAAGAGAAAAAAGGTCAGTGTGTGATACAGGGGGCAAAGGGCAATTTCTTCCTCAGATTTGCTTTTGACTCCAATAACCGTCCAGTTATACTGGCGTTGTCTCTGCATCCATAAATCTATTTTGAACGTGGTACTATATATATCGACAATACTTCTTTAGGAATCCGGATTGTATACCTGAATCCATGGCCCGTATTCAAATTAAAATCCGACGCTCGTTCAAAATCGGGTTTAACAACTGGGAAGTTAGTTGCAGGTCTAAATACTTTAGATCAGAATCGGTTTTATACCCATGCATACAAACCTTTAGTGATATCTTTGACCTTGTATTCTCATGTTTATTTCAGATCTTGTGCATCGTACTAGGATGCTGCCTCATGAAGGACATCAAGGAGCTGTCACGTGCGATAGCTGAAATGTGTTAGCTCATTAATCACTTAACCACCCTGAATAATACATAGGCTTAGGAACCGGGGGAGGAGGGGGGGGGGGCGCAGCCCCTTCGAAAAAAATCTTGGGGGCTCAGATATCATTGCGCCCCCCCCCCCCAATTTTTTGGTGGGGCTCGGATATCATTAACCCCCCTCCTCCCCAATCATTATATTCTAGGCATGAAACACATGTATACATATAATCTACAGACTTACCATTCAAATATAAACATTTTATAAATATTTATTTAGGGAGGGGGGGGGGGGCTCAGACATCGGATCTCGCACATCATTGACCCCCAAAATATATTTGGTGGATCTCGGATATCATTGAGACCCCCAATTTTTTTGGCGGGACTCTGATATCATCGAGCACCCCCCTCCCCCATATTTTGGTGGGGCTCAGATATTATCAGCCCCCCTAATTGTTTTTGGTGGGGCTCGGATAACATCACGGAGCCCCCCGATATTTTTGAGGGGCTCGGGTATCATTGAGTCCCCCCAAACAAAAATATTTGGCCGGGCTCGGTTATCATGAGCCCCCCCCCCCCCAGTATTTTGTTCGGGCTCGGATAGGCTATCATTGACCCCGCCCTCCCCAAATATATTGGCACACTGTCTTATGTACCGAATACTAAGGCAGACACTCTGCTTAAAGTTAAACAAATACGGCGTCGGAGGTTCTAATCACGTTTGGAATTTAATATGCAGTTAAACATATTTCTTGATATCAAGAAATTTTTGTATTTGTGGGGGGGGGGGTGGCGACGTACCCTAGCCCCCGCTGCGTACAGTCATGATTCATTGGCTAAGCAATGGCCTCGTTACTGTGAGCCCCCAGGCTCAAAACCATGTTGATGTGCTATAGTGCCCTTTTAAGAGGCATTAATCCTCATCATTATGACTTAAGGACGTAGGTCCCCTAGTTGATTAGTATAGTAGCACACAATCATATGCTTTTAGTAGTCACGCAAAACAAACACTCACAAATTATTATTCAATAAAATGTGAGAATGTATACTATCATCTAGATCTATTAGGAATGAATCATTGTCAAAATCATTCCATAAATTGGGGTAAAAATATTATTCCACCATTATGACCAACAGTGTATATAAAGGACCGACATTATGCCTTTACTACACGTAGCTCTTCATGCCCGTTTTTTAATTTAATAATTATATATATAAATTATAAAATATTATATAAATTATATGTTTATTTATAAGTATATACTTGATGATATAATCATTGCGAATTTCCTATTACCTAAATTGCGTCTTTCAAAATAGATATACATTGTGATTATATTATATTCATATATTTGATTGAAATATGTGATTTCGATGTCATGAAAATTGGCCAATATTTGTAATACAATGCACGGTCGATACTTATTATAGCAGCATCATCAATATTGTCATCGATGATGATATTCCAGTTTTGCAAATAATTAATTACCCATGCAGAGAAGTCAAGATGTATGTGTTTCATTTCATTGTGCCCTATATAATATATATAAAAGTATTATACAGTGCGTATAAGAAAATGTACCCAACTTTGGTAGCTTCTAATTAAAACGTTATAAGTCTAATCATAATTTTAAGGTAAAGGGTAACTAAATATCCTGTCTAATGATACTGTATTCATAATTGTACTGCCATGGTTAAACGAGCAGGAGGCTTTTTAAAAAGCATTGTCAAAATCCTACTGTACCAAGTTTGGGCTGAAGTAGTGAATGTGGTTCAAAAGCCTTTATGTGTGTATTTTATATCATCCAAAAATAACAATTACTCACTTGTTTACATTGATTATTAGGCAGTTGAAAAGAAAAGGTGTTAACATGAACTCAAACTCAAGTAAATGCTTATTGCGAGGAAATTTTATGATATTCTCTTCGTTATGATGATTACAAACTTGAGTTCATTCGCACCCCTTGTTAAGGCAACCCTTCTTATTGAGTTGTACAAAATGAATAAAGTTTATTTTGGACGATATTTTTTTAATGAAAGTCTATACTGTCAATTTTGTTTATACTATCATTATTATGTCGTGTTATTACTACAAGAAAAAAGAGTGTTTCTGCTGGACATAATTTTCCTTCTGTTTTGCTATAAACACTGCATTGTAAATTGATTTATACGGTATGTTTACAGAATATTGATTTGTTACATTACATTGTAAATTGATTATGTTTCCAAACAGAATGTTGATTTGTTACATTACATTGTAAAATGATTTATATGTTTATAAACAAAACATTAATGTACATCAATGAAGTTTAATAAATACAATACATACATACATCATAACCATGTGTTATTTCTTTCGTTTTGGTTTAGTAACCTTTGAGTTTTCATTCGCTATTTGGAATCAATCCTTATGCTCCTTAAATGGCGCAACGGACAAGACTGAGTGTGAGCAGAGAGAATTAAATTTTATTAGACAATAAGTTAGTAGGCTGTTTAAAATAATTTAAGTTTATCCTATGGATTGAAACATTCCATCAACCCAAACTTGGTATACAGCGCGGTTTTGACAACAATAATATTTAAAGACCCTGGTGCTCAGTCGCCCGTGGCAGAAATATTATGAATAGGTAATCATTGGATAGAAAATAAGTTCCTCTTCATCATGAAATAGATATTCAAATTGTATGCATACTTTTTAAACAAAAGAGGTTCTTGACAGCCCGAAAGCTTGCCCGTGTATTGCCCGACATGGCAACAAGTAATGTATGCAGACTGGATTCCAAGTATTGTATCGTTCATTAACAGGTAAATAGATAACTCGTCACTAGCTCCATTTGCATGAAAGCAACTTCCATAAATTTGAATATGTTAGTAAACCGGTCTATTGTGTAACAGGCTTACACTCAGGCGCGGATCCACGTAGCGATTTCTCCGGCCCGCCCCCCCCCCCTAGCCCCCCAAAACGGTAAAAAATAGGATAATAACGTGAATTTAATCTTTGTTTAAAATAAAGAACAAAATCGGGACCCCCTGACCCCCCCCCAAACAAACAAAAAAAGAAGTAAAAAAAAGAAGAAAATTGTATTTTCACCCCCTCAAAAAAAAAAAGTGGTTCTCCTCTTCATCACCTCCACCCCCCCCCCCCCGCTTTTTCACCGGCTTGAAGAATCGCTGCTAAATATTTTCTCACGAATTGGGGGGGGGGGGGATATTTGCCTATACCCCCCCCCTCCCGCTTATTCACCGGTCGGCTGAGTCGGCGCTGAATTTTTCTCAAGATTGGCCCCCCCCCCCCCCTCCTGTCGCCGGCTGGATCCGCCCCTGCTTACACTGACCTTTTTCGAGTTTGATTGAAGATTCGTTATGAAATATGTTCTCATTATACCTTTGGTAGTATTCTACAGCTTGATAATTTTTTCATCACGTTAATGCTCAGATTGTAGGCCGAATGATGATATGATTTTTGACGTGCTTTACTGCAGAATACATACATAATTATCGATCAGCAGCCGGAGTTCCCGACCTCCGCGGACCACCTTCCAGTTTTGTTACAAAGATTGGAAGTAGATGGCTTTTGTAATACTTACCATGTCTTTCTTTACTGCAGATCTATACGTAACGAGTATTCATTTTATGACTAAGAAAATAGAAATCACATAATTTCTCTTTTAATATGGTTATCTGAAGCCGTCTTCGTTGCTCATTACGGAAAGGGTGACAGTTCTGTCCGGACTCAAATTTGTTCAGTGTTGGAAAATTTTCGGCTGACTGATTTTACACCACTTATGAAAATATGTCGTTATGCCCCATCAGTGAAACATAAAACGGGAAAAGGAAACATACTATGTGTAACAAAAAGTGATAAAAGTATCATGAGGACATAATGTACACAGGGATCATCAAAGAGTTGGGAAGGGTGAAGAAGATGAGGGAAAAGAGAAGGCACATTTTATAGTGACAACCATAGTAGATAGGTGTTTTTTCCTCTTTCAATGAGCTAACAGAACTTGCATGTACGGGGGGGGGAGGGGGTGGAGGGAAGGCCCAGGCAATGGTATAATTTGTTTTTTTAACATGTATCAAATTATTAGATACATTGAAATTGTATGTTATTTGATAATAAATTCTGATTAAGTTTGATTTGGTCTGATTTTTGGTTTGGAAAAATTAAAGGTTGCATTATCATGCGAATGCTTTTTGTTAGTAATTTCATCCACGCTGGCACCAACAACATCTCTGAGGGTGCTGGTGAAGTTTGCCACCAAATCGCCGACCTCGGCAAGTCTGTAGCTGCCGAAGGGTTTACCGTCTCAGTATCTACGGTCATCCATCGTAGATGGGAGAGTGAAGCGGGCAAGAAGCGGGTTGATGAGATTAACCATCTGATGGAGTTGGCAGCCAGCGAGAACAGATGGGGCCTCATCATCAACAATGATATCAGCGAGCAGCATCTCGGGCGTGATGGCGTTCACCTCAACAGAGCCGGTCAACGAATTTGGCAGGCAACATGAAATGCCTCATCAACCGTGCTGACCAACCGACAACACGAGGCCAGGGCTGGACTCAACGGTCGTCCGGCCGATCAGGACACAGGCAGTCAACCTGGAGCAAGGCGGTTTTCAAGCCATCTACCGAGAAAACCAGAGTCTTCATTCTGATGAGGAAAAAAGCAGCCCCGTAAAATTCTACACCGAACTCATAGTCAACTCATTAAAGAAGCAACACGCGTATGTTCTTATAGATCATGTTGGTTGTACCAAAGAAAACAAAATAAGCCAAAGTGGTGTCATTGATCTAGGTATTAGCGACCATTCTTTTACTTTATGTACACGGAAAAATATTAGACTGGCTATAGGTCATCACAGGACTAATGATATCAGATCCATGAAAAAATATACAGAAGAGTCTTTCAATCTTCAACTATCTGTTGTTGATTGGTCAGGAATAACTGACTGTACAGATGTAAATGAGGCATGGTCAATATTTCAACATGTTTTTAACTCAAATTTGAATATGATAGCGCCACTGAAACGGATTAGAATAAAACAAAGATCAGAAACTTGGGTGACTAAGGATATTCTTTCCCTAATTCAAGAGAGAAATATAGTATACAAAAACTTGAGGAAAAGACCAAAAGATGAGACGCTTTATAAAAGATACAGAGTATTAAGAAATATGGTCCAAAGAGAGGTGAAAGAGGCTAAACTCGATTACTTACAAAATAAGATAGAAGAAAATAAACAATATTCGAAAAGGTTTGGCAGAATCTAAAAAGCTTATAGGATTAAAAAATAAGAAGCGAAAAGAACAAGAATCTGTCATTAAAATTAATGGGGGATTATGTCATAAAAAAAGATGGCCATCGCTGATGAATTCAATTCTCATTTCACAAATGTGGCTGCCAAATTAGTAGACAAACTCCCCCCTTCCAAAGACTTTTTCAGCACAGACAATGATTGTATTCGTGATTTTTACGAAAGGAAAGGTGTACGTGAAAACAGCTTTGACTGTTATTACCAATCAGTGAACAATTTGTTTTCAAAGAGTTACGTGAGTTGAATGTATCAAAAAGTACAGGGTTAGACATGATTCCAGCTAAATTCCTAAAAGATGGTGCGAAGGTTTTATTAAAGCCTCTAAGTTACTTAATGAACCTATCTATCTTGACGAGTACTTTTCCAGAGGATATGAAAATAGCAAAAGTGACTCCACTTTATAAAAAGAAAGATAAAACTGATGTTAGCAACTGTAGACCTATTAATGTTTTAAGCGTAGCATCACAGATTCTAGACAAATCGGTCTGTGTTCAAATTGAAAGATACTTCTAAGAAAATGATATAATTTATGAATTTCAACCTGGTTTTCGACATGATTATTCGACTGAAACATGTCTAATTCATTTGACTGATTATTTGAGGACAGAAACTTCCCAAGGGCGCTTTGTTGGTATGGTGCTCCTTGATCTGCAAAAAGCTTTTGATACAGTAAGTTAATCATTGCGTCTTATTGAAGAAGTTACAACTAATGGGTTTTAATAAGGCAAGTTTAGATTGGTTCAGATCCTACTTATCTAATCGACACCAAGTAGTGGCCATTCATGATATTCGTTCCAAACTAATGCCTATAACATGCGGTGGCCATTTTAGGCCCAATTCTATTTTCAAGTTATATAAATGATATGTGTATTTGTATAAAAGACTTTAAACTATTATTGTAGGCCTACGCAGATGACAGCGTACTACGCTATTCAAATCCTGATCCTAAAAATTGAGGAAAAGCTCAGTGAACAGCTGTCTACGTGTGTCGATTGGATGACTGATTTGTACAGGTATCAAAGTTATATGGATTTAAAAGCAAGACGTACACTCTGTTTTGCTCTTATTCAATGTTTATTTGACTATGCTAACCCTGCATGGTATAGTAACATAAACAAGTCAGATCAAAAGAAGTTGAAGATTATACAGAACAAAATGGTGAGATTTATCAACTGTTCTGGTCCAAGAACTCATGTTGGCTACAGCGAACTTTCTAAAGCTGGTTTTCTTGAAGTCGACCAAAGATCAAAACAACTCGTATTGCATCACGTGCATAAAATATATCATACTAGGTCGAATCATATTCGATCCAACTTCGATCTTGTTACTGACTTACATGATTATAATACAAGAAATAGCCGATTCAACTTTAACTTACCAGGAATTCGTTTTATTACAATGCCATAAACATTGGAATTCCCTTCCCAATGGTGTAAAGGAAATAGAAAACTATGCTCATTTTAAGAGGAAATTAAAGGAATACCTAATACTTGACAGTCAGATAAGAGAAGTAAATGACATGATATATGATTGAAATTTGTATTCTTCTGCCGGTTCATACTTTTTCATTTTGTGTATACTTATGTTTTCGTACGTTATAGAAATTCTACAAATTCATCATTATTTTCCTCTTCTTCCTCCGCCTCTTTTTCTTCTTCTCCTTCTTCCCTTTCTTCTTGTACTTATTATCATTTCTATCATCAGTTTAATGTTGTTATTATTATTATCTTTAATAAGTAATTCTTTTATTTTTCTTATCTGTCTGTAAATAATTATTACTATTTTAAGTTATTAATTTTATACATGTCTGTAAGGGACCCCACTGGAAATAAGCTCTCGAGCTTTCGTAGGTTATCCTGTTCAAGCTGACTTATTTCTGATCTGTTATTATTGTATATTGTTGTATGTTGGAAGCTTGTCGAATAAAAATCAATCAATCAATCAATATATTTCTTACGTAAGATATTGAAATTAATATTTGTAAATTAGGTGCATGGACTAACAATACAAGGATTTACGATCTGCATGTGACAATGAATGAGATATTGCACGAAAAGTTCTAAAAAAAGTATATGACGTAGCGATGAAAGATCACGGGTTGGTTTCTCACGGGTTGAGGCGCAATAATTATAGTTAGGTGCTCGGCCCCGCTCGGCCCATATCAAACGAACACATCTCCAAATAAAAGCCATGGTTTTACATAATTCACACACACTTATACCTAAGATTATATTGTTTTGAAATAAATATTCATCAAGAGTCAATAAGGAATGATATCGATTAATGATAAAGATCTACATTTCTGTTTTTGCGTATGAAATTTGAGCACTTTGGTTGCTCCTGAGTAAGCGCGACGTGCGTGTCGAAACGACCTGAATGTTTGTTTATTGTATTTGTGCACAGACTGTGTAAAAATAGCGTGTATGCAGCTAGCGATTTGTGATACGGGAAGACGGGCGCACATAGAATCAGTGTTCCGGCAGAATTTTAAGACGACAGAACCATTTTGGCGTAACTATTTCTCTCCACAAAGGAATTGTTGATTTACAAGAGAACTCAAGATGGTGGAAGGAACAGCATCATGCATCAAATATTTGATGTTCATCTTCAACTTCATTTTTTTCGTAAGTATTTTTACTTGTTAATGTTATGGCTTTGCTAGATTTTATGTTACGATACTGAGTCAGTGATACCGTACTGACTATCTGGACTGTAGACCTACAATGTAGCTAGAGCCTAGGTCTAGATTATAACAGTAGAAGTCTATCAGTGATACTCTTACCAGGAAGCTGTAATGAATGGAGATACCGTCTCGAAAGAATTTTCCGAGGGAAAATTATTCAAGATTAACCTGGCTTAACAAAAAGAAATGTAACCCTCTCCAGCCATCATTTCCATCAACAGCTGTCTATATCAATGCACAGTCCCTCTCTGGCATTCCAAATAGTACGAAATGTTACGCAACGCCATCTGCTTCCCTAAGTTCTCTATTCACTCGTTTGCAAAAATATGCAAGCATCGGGCTTTGAAGCCATGCGTGGCACCGACAAATTAAGTCATGTTCATGGAAGATGTATTTAGCTATAACATATAAAATGCAGAATTCAAAACATATGACCAATGCAACTTTCTATTAGACTCTAGTCATCAAATGCGTTTTCCGTTCTCGGATAGCTCTACTAAAGACATGGCCATTTTAACCAGCGAAATCGACCAAGGAAATCATGAGTTAGAGCGAATGAAAGATTTTCATAATCATGATTTTCTCATCTAATTATTGACATTTTCCGAAAATTTCCGAAATTTGTACATAGCTAGGAAGGTAGTCCAAAGGTTTATCTTCCTAAAGAACTAAATGAAATTGTGTTATATGTTTGCGCATTTATTGATTTAGGGCTAGAAGTTGTCAAGTTAGCACCACTATTCACCCAAAGTACGGGCCGGCAAAGCAAAAGCCTCCGTGCTCGCTGGGCTGGGCTGTGTGTGGAAAGGGAGGACTTAGTGCTACTAGGGAGCTGTAAGGTTTTGGAGGGGGATTAAGGGGATTACGGTAGGGGAAACAAAAGACGCGCGGTGCCACGGATGACTTCAAAGGGGCCTCTTGGACGGGATCTCCATTCATTACAGCTTCCTGCTCTTACTAGTGATACTGATACTTTCTTTCAGTTTCACAGCACGGCCCTAATTGCCTTGGCTCAGCTCAGTCTTAGTGTCTGAGTTAGACCGAAAATTTCAGTCTCTTTCGTTCGTTAGCCTGTGATTTGGGTAGGGTTGGTTCCTCTCTTTAGAGACAGAAACCGACCATAGGCGCTCTTGTGCGGGTTTGGTGGAGTGGATCTCACCATTCCCAAATAGGCCTACTATATTTTACCGAATGCATATGCATTTGATTTTGAAAATTAGGTCTAGAATCTAGGCTATTAGGTCTATATATCGGTTCCATTTACCAACTTGACTGAACTAATCTGTTTAATGGTCCCTATTCAGGAAACTATTGTATGGTCAAAATCGACATCCATGTTGAAAATCTTGCAGCCGTTTTTGAAACTCTTGCTGCGCATGGCATCAAGGCAACATGATTATGAAGGAAAAACTGTGATATCGTCATTACGAACTCGTAGCTTGTGCACAGTTTTTCCTTCTTAATCATTTCATAAGCTCCTAGTAACTCATTTCTGCACTTTGGACAGAAATAACCGTCTGGTATGGGGAATTCTTTGATAAAACTGGCATTTGTCAACCTTCCCCATACACAGACGATACCCTTTATTAGGGTGTCTGAACGAATTTTCAATTTGGGATCATTTTTCACCATTTTTGTTGGACCGAAAGCTTCAGTCTCTATCCCGTCGGTTGTTCCACTGAGACTACGTCTGGCTCCACTAGACCTCCGGTTATAGAGACTGAACGATCGCCTATGCCAGCCTATGTTGAAGATATCACGGCTAGATTTTAGCCGTTAGGCCCCTCCCACAAACATGAACAAACTTGCCACGGCCGTATTGTTATGCCCCCAAAATCCCCCAAAATGTCATTTTACCTCGTGCATATCCAATTTTACATTAGGCCTAGGCTATAATACATCGGTGCGCCATCTACACGTTCGTAATGGCGTTATCACAGTTTTTCCTTCATAATCATTTTTGCCTTCGGCGTAGACTAGAAGGGATGAGATTGACGGCAGCGAGAGTTTAACACGGCTTGCAAGATTTTCAACATGGATGTCGATTTTGACCCATAATTTCCTTAAAAGGGACCATTAAACGGATTATTTCAATCAAGTTAGTAAGTGGAACCGATGTATTATAGCCTAGGTCTAATGTAAAATTGGATATGCAAGAGGTAAAATGACATTTTGGGGGATTTTGGGGGCATAACAATACGGCCGTGGCAAGTTTGTTCATGTTTGTGGGAGGGGCCTAACGGCTAAAATCTAGCCGTGATATCTTCAACATAGGCTGGCATAGGCGATCGTTCAGTCTCTATAACCGGAGGTCTAGTGGAGCCAGACGTAGTCTCAGTGGAACAACCGACGGTATAGAGACTGAAGCTTTCGGTCTACATTTTTGTTTGCTATTTGAATTAAAAATGTAATCAGAATAATACATTTCAAATTTCAAGTCTCACCTATGTTTCTATCAAAAGATACAGCCCCTCCAAAACGCTGCAATATTCATAAGATTTTGCTCAGAATCGACGAAAAAGACGTACACGCAGAGTTATGTTGTTTTGCTAAATTTAGCCAAACAGCTGTATCGCGCGATATGCAAGCGTATGCATAGCGTACGCATGTCATGCGCAACTTGCAGCTTGAGCCACGCTGTCTCCGCGATCATGTGCCATTGACTAGTATGGCTAGCCGTTCGCGCCATAGAACCCAGAAGTGAATACACGTTATAGTCAATGGCAATATCGCGGAGACAACGTGCACAAACATAAAATACAAATATACGAATGAGGAACCAGCAAGAAAGAACAATTAAGTCTTGTGTGCGACAATTTTAACCTATAACACCTAACAACTAACACCTAACATCTAACACCTGATTGCATATATAAAAACTAATAAAATACTATTCACAAAAACGTAATTGTTTGTATCTTCTTTTAAATGTATTCAGAGTTGGGCTTGATTTAACGTTAGGAGGTAACTCATTCCATAAAATTGGTCCTTTAAAGAAAATTGAATTTTTAGAGACAGAAGTTTTGATAAGTGGTAAATGAAAATGAGATGATTGTCTAGTTATATATGAATGTACTTCAAAATTTAAAATCAATTTGTTTGATAGACTAGGAGGAATAATACCTTTATGACATAAAAACATAAATATAACAATATAATAGTCATTCAATTCAAATACATTAAAAAATTTAAAACTGACAAAAATAGGTTTTGTATGGGCAAGATAATGGGATCCTGAGATAATATGTATTGCCTTCTTTTGTAATTTATATAATCTATTCATACAATAATCATTTGAATTGGCCCAAACAATATTGCAATAATTCAATTGTGATAAAAACAATGCATTGTATATCATTAATAAAATCTTATAGGGAATTGTTTTAATTTGTATAAAATACCAACTACTTTTGAGAGTTTATTACAAATTGCTTCAATATGAACGTGCCATGACATTTTATAATCAATTTGAATTCCTAGAAATGTCAATGAACTACAACGCTGTACAACATTTCCATTAATCTTTACTTCAATATTATCTGTTCTAATGTTTTTGTTTGTAAAAATTATATAATTAGTTTTCTTTACATTTAAGATTAATTTATTAATATTCAACCATTGAGAAATGTTTTGAAGCTCATCATTAAATCGTATCACTAATCTATCTACATCGTTATCTGACAAAAATACACTTGAATCATCGGCATACAATATACATTGTAATATTTGTGAAGCCTGAGTAATATCATTCATGTATACAAGAAATAATAAGGGTCCTAATATCGAGCCTTGAGGCACTCCACATCATATGGTTTTAAAGTCAGATTCAATGTTATTAAAAAGAACAATTGTTTTCGGTTTATTAAATAGCATTCAAACCATTTTAACAAAACACCTCGTATTCCATAATTGAACAATTTATCTAAGAGAATTTTGTGATCCAACGTATCAAATGCCTTACTAAGATCGAGAAATATTCCTAACATAATTTGTTTAATATCTAAGGCATTTGAAACTTTAAAAACAAAATCAATTAGTGCAGAGGATGTGGAGTGACCAGCTCTAAAACCATATTGACTATCCGATAATAAATTACATTGGTTCAAAAAATATATCAATCTATTATAAAAACATTTTTCTAAGATTTTTGAAAATAATGGCAAGACTGATATTGGTCGATAATTACTCATTGTATCGAATGATCCATTTTTATATACAGGAATAACTTTTGCTATTTTTAACTTTTCCGGAAAAATACCTTGATTCATAGATTCATTAAAGATATGACACAGCGGATAGCATATAATGTGAACAGCCCTTTTAACGATGACAATATCAATTTCATCATAACCAGTGCTTGATTTGCTAATACCTTTATGGCTTGCACAGGGGGGGGGGGGGGGGGGGGGGAAGGGGGAGGAGAATTACTATCTATTTTGCCTGAAAATGTTCCCCTCATTTTTCTCTATCTAGATCTAATCTAGTAATATTATAGACTTGAGTTATTAGTTAGTCTACTTACAGTTTGATGTTTGAAAACATGATGGAAATGAAGTAAAACTGGATGGTTAGTGATATAGAATAAATGGTAATGATGATGACCACTGTTTTACTTACGGTGCGGTGAAATGTATGAAATGAACAGGATGATGAAAGGAAGAAAGACAATACATTCACGGACATTAACCTTATATTATGTAGTACTCAGCTACTCCGAACTCCCGGGTCTTGAGGTGAACCGGGAGTTGCATGATTTGAGAAGCTAGGTGATTCTGGAGTATGTGTGTTTGTATCATCAGCAAAATCCAGAATGTGGAGACAGTCCGTGGCCGGGACGCTTACAGGCACGTCCCCGAGAGGGTGGCGATGGATGGACGCGTAAGCGCATCCGAGATGCATACATACACTGTAGTGTGAATCCTGGCATGCTGATAAAATATCCGCCTGGTTACACATGTACATGTACTTACTTACGCGTCCACGAAAGGGTACAAGAAATTGGCATACTAAATGCCATTTTACAACAGAGAGTAAAATAGATTTACTTCATATAATTTCAAAAGAACGTGGAAAATCATTATAAAACATCAAAATATAGCGACTTACTTTCAGCAATTTACATTGTGATAGCTTTGGCCTGTAGACTGTAGTGTAACCTGTTGGTACTAGAATGTGATGCCTCAGTGAGTAGTGCAGCATTGAGATGTGATAATGTGAGATGTGTATTCAATTATCTTAGAGAATGTAAAACTTGATAATTTCTCCATGAACTGAAATACAATTCTGTAGGTACAACACAAATGTACATGTATAGGGTCTAGTCATTGGAAACGAAATCTTGTTCACAAGGTTGATCTTGGGTTAATCTGTGAAGCCAGGTACATTCACACTTAAATTGTATTGATCTTTAAAGCCCCACTGTACTACTTGTAGCTACTTGCTCCGTCTATATAGCAAACAATGCCTAATCGGTGACCATTGGTCCCCCATGATCCTCTTTGTCTTATGTTAATTGAGAGCTGAGTTGATAAGATAACCACCTGTCAGTGGGCACCCTGGGTGGTCTTATCCCTCCTAGCCAAACTAGTACAGACGGTCTTTAATGGTTCTTTCTGCAGTGTACAGTATGTACTGTAAGAATGATCAAGAGAATGATAGTCCATAATGTGTACAGTGTATCACTATGAACATGACAGACAAAGAAAGCGGACAAAATATACAGTTCCTCAGGTACATGTAGACAAAGGAACATCCCGTCACTGCTATTATGTAAAAAGGTGAATATGCATGTGACACCTGTTCTACACATTTTTACATAATAGCAGTGAAGGGATGTTCCGTTGTCTACCTGAGGAACTGTATATTTTGTCCGCTTTCTTTGTCAGTCATGTTCATAGTGTATGTACATTGTATTTGACTGTAGTAGTTGAAAGGCTTCCACACTTCCTGAATACAAATTTATCATGACAGATTTCTCTTGGAATAACTCTTCATTCATGGAATGTAAACACCAATGCTTTACACTGTATCTCTAATGTTAATTCCTTATTAACTGTGGTTGACACGTAATGTACATGTACGTGTAGGAAGTACATGTATGACTGTAACCACAGGCCACCAGTCAGCAGGATTCTCTAGCAGCATCCCAAAGGCATTGATTTGGAATTCGTGATCAAAAAATAGAAAAGTTGACAAAATTGGACATGACCAAAGTACATGATTACCTTGTAGTTGTACTGAATGGTGTACATTTTGTTCTGCGCAAAGATTCAATCAGTTGCTTTTAGTAATTTTGGCCATTACATGAAGTGGGTTATTGATGTAGACAAATGCTCATGACCCTTTACAGCTCATATGTATGTTATTACCAAAGGAAAAATGAAACCAGTCAGTCACTCAATAGTGTCTTACAGTAAGAAAGTAAACAGGTTTCCTTGCATATTTTGAATACTGCATGTTCACTGTAGGACATTGTTATTAACATTTAAATTTCACCAATACTGAGATCACAATACTGAGAACATAAAAGGTGTACATGTACATGTACAGTTGTACATCTTTACATTTGTCCGTGACATATTCATAATTCTTAAGTATAAGTTCTACAAATTTGATGTTGGCTGCAAATGTAGTCCCTTTAAAATACTTGTAATAAACAACCTTCAATATATGGAGAAGCTACCTACAGTGCATTAACTCAAAATACAATTGCTCTTGATTTTCAGAAAGGTATTATATTGGTACCCATTATTGTAAGTGGTTTTAAGCACAAATTAGTACACTATTAAACCACATGTTGTACTTGACTGAGCTAGCTAGGGATTGTAAGCCTGTGTATCGACCAGTGTGTAATATGAATGTGGTCTGTTTACAATGCTTCATTGATCACCTGTGGAGAGCCTAGGATTACCAACCAATAAAATTGATTTTTGTACAATGGTACAATTTTCATATATTACAATTACAAATTAGTATGTATGTATACATATTCACAGAGTGCAATTGTTAACAGGAAAAGTCAACTGCACAAATTCATACATTATCTACAATGTATGTTTATGGAAAATTAAATTCCAATAAAATGTCAATGATGTTTCATGTTTTTCACTATTGTATTTTTCTCTAAGTTTTTATGTTGTATATATATTGGTTTCATGTAATTGGGATCATGTTTACAAGTTTTACCAATTCTATTTATGATCCCACCACATTAACATTAATCATCTTTTCTTCCTTGTATATTTGTTTGTTACATGTTATTGTTTAAATATATTTTTTTGTCATGCTTTATATATGTTTTTGAAATGAAGATTTGGAAATAAATTCAATTCAATTAAGTATGTATCTTGTAAACTTCATTAAAGGTGGTGGGGGAGGGGGTTGGGGAGGGAGTAATTTAGTTACTACAATACATTGTACATGTACATGTAGTTTAGTGAAGCTGCACATGTACATGCACATGTATTTTAATAATCTTTCCATACCTTGGCATCGCTCTAAAATGATCCAAATGTTAAATTCCATGGCAATGGCGATGGCAATGGCGATGGCAATGGCGATGGCAATGGATGCAGAATGCATTCAAAGCTCTTGCACCAGGATCAATTTTATGCATTTCATGCACGTACAGTAACTGGGATCCGGAGTGCATTTCAACGGGAAACAAGGACAAATTGCTCTAAAATGATATGCTAAAGTGAAGTGCGGGCTGGTACTTGAGTTGTTTATGTCCAATGGTGCAGTATGTTACCAGCATAAAAATGCGAGACTTTGAATACAAACACTTTTAAGAGGCCAACACACACCCACCCACCCACACACCTACTAAAGTGGTAATGTTGTATGTATAGCCAGATTGCCATCTACAGCTTGGCAGTTCACCCATGACTGTTTAAACATACATTTACTGTATGCATGACTTTGAGAAAATAATAATTAAAATGAGTATTATCATATAAATGAGAGAGAATCTCTAGGTTGCTCATGTGCAACAAACCATGAGATGCTTTACTCATTGGACTGTCGGTGTTCATCACAGTCTTTCGATTTTGATTTTGATGTAATATTTGAGTTTTATTTTGTTTCATTATGCATGATTTATGGTGGTAGGTTTTAGTAATTCATATTTTGATCGTACATTGACTTTGTAAATTGAGCAATTTCAACTGAATGTTCTTTTATTGCAATAAACTGAATCAATTTAATTCAATTCAACTCGTATGATCTATTTAAAGTATTTGGCAATAGATATTATGAAGTACAGCCTGATTTAAAAAATGCACTACCGGTAATATGACAAAAGTGATGAATTTTATCGGAAGGAAAATAGAGAATAAAACAAGAAGTGATACATTTAAATGACCAACAAAACAAGAGAAAAAAAAGAGGAAGAAGCAGAAGTCAAGGACATTATGTTTGTGTAAACCCTGGCCTGTATTTACAGAATGAGGTCATGACTATTCTTTTACTCTTAGAAGGTCCGTCTACTGACTATAAGATAAGGCTGTGTGTTCACAGATAACTGAAGTTAAAAGATTAACGTGTTGAATACTATTTGACAGAATAGCATCGATGACAACAATATGTAGAAAAAGAAAAGAAGTAAAGAACACACTCACTTGTACATGTACAATTCATTGGTAGACCCATCTGTGTAACAGTTGTGTCCGACAGTATTTAGCTTGACATTGACCTTGTTGTGGTCAGGTGACAGAGTTTACACTTGATCCTTCTACTTCAATATGTGAATAACATCTGTTTTTACTCAGTTTCGCACATATGTTGGAATTTTGGGTGGAATATTTTGATTCAGGTTTGCCAGTTACATGTACATGTACAGGACTAGTGCATGACATCTAATACAGGCAATCTATACAACAAACACAATATATAGTACATGTAGTTTGTTCTTATTTATGAAGTCTATTTAATAGAGGCAGATGCATGGGTTAGATGAAGATGTACATGTAAATGTATATTTTGATCTTTATTTCATATTTAAAAATCCTAATATTGTATTCTTCTGGAATCTGGATGTTCCTATTTTAGTTCTGCACTGTACATACATGTATTCATGTAAATGGATGTAATTGATTTTTTAAAGTTAATTCAAAAATTCAAACTGGCTATCGGGTTGGTTCTAATACATGTATGTAATATCAAAAATCAAATACAACTTAACCTATAAAAGATTGGCAATATCAGAAGAATAATTTAAAATATGTTGTGAATGCATAAAGTTGTAAACAGCAATCCATGAAAATCATATTACAGCATATACAGTACATTTACGTACATTGTACATGTGTATTGTCTAGACATACATGTACATGTAAGTACAGTGTATTCATTTTGTTGCAACACAACTATCTGTATGTCTGAAGTACAAGTACAAGAACATGTATGTACAGTAAATCAAGAAATGCTTTTTTTTTGTAGGAATCATAGAATATCTTTGCTGAAAAACAGTAACATGAATTTTTCAGAAGGGCTGATTTTTGTCATTGTTTTGCTTGATACAGACTTGCAATGTAATTTGATTAGAAATTAAACTAATCAAAGTTTTATATTTCCATTTTTTAATTTTTTTTTGCAATGCAGATCTTTGGTCTTGGTATCATCGTTGGAGGAAGTCTGACATTGACTCTCTACAGTGAGTATGTAGACTTCACTGGTAATACAGGCACAGCTATACCTATAGCTCTCATCTGTATTGGTGTCTTCATATTCCTGACTGGATTCTTTGGATGCTGCGGAGCAGTCAAGGAGAACTACTGCATGCTGGGAACGGTCAGTATTCTCAGCTAATAAAAACTACATGTATTTTGACTCATGATTCTCATACATATATAGGAAGTCCACCCTGATATCAGTTGGTTTTAATAAAAGCAGAAAATGAGAGAAAAATGTCAATTGGCAACTTTTTGACATACACAATTTATCTTGTGAGTTCCCCTTCTAGATACACAAAATTTCATTTTTCTGCTTTTGTTTTTAATCCCACTCAATATAAGAGCGGGCTTCCCCTTTAAAAAAATACAAGTGTTAAGAAATCGCTTTTATCACAATATTTTTTAAAAACATCCTGTTTCTTCTTCTCTTTGAGTCATTTTATGTAGAGTGCTTTTGATAAATACTTTTATGATACATGCTTTTATCATGGCATTTCATGTAATCTTGGGGTTATTTTATGATTGTTCATCTCTATAGTATGCTTTCATCATGGTCCTTCTTCTAATCTTGGAGCTTGCTGCCGGTATCTCTGGCTATGTCCTTCGTGATGACATTGATAAGCTGGTCGATGACAACATGACTGACCTTCAGAAGGAGTATAACTCATCTACTTCAACGCAACAACTCTTTGATAACATGCAGAAGAATGTAAGTACCCTACCTGCAAGACATTCTGCATTGCATTCATGTTTTTCCTGGACAGCGGAGGGGGAATGTGTTTTCCCTTAATCTGTTACATACAGAAACCAATGCTCCCTGTATTAAGCCTATGGGACTTTGACAATACAGGGGTCAATGGGCTAATGAGAGACTATTGGAAGCATTGAAACAATCTCAGATACTTTCAGCACTCAGGTGTTTTCACTATATATGTAGATCTGCAATATAAATCCTAGAAAGAGCCTTTGACAAGCCATATCCACTGTTTGCCATCTTCATACACTCCCTGTTCTGTACTGCATTGTGCAGTGAAAATATTCTGAAGAACAAAGTCTGGAAGTCATAGAATTTGATTTGTTTACCAAAATACTTAGCGGCACGACTCAGTCTTTGTGATTACAAACCAACCCTCATTTCTCTTTACACACGAGATACAAGGCATACATGTCTGGATATCATTCATGGTAGCTGATTTTACACAAAGAACAGAGTTGCAATCCTGCCTTTTTCAGACTTTAAACAAATTTCATTCAAATTATTTTTTGTGCTCAATGTTGTATGAATAATAGATTTTTCATAACAATTTAAAGAACATACATTTTGTAGCTTGAATAAAGACAATTTATCATGTGCATTTTGCACATTTTAAACTAATTTTATAATATTTTTTCATCAACATTCTTGCTTTTAGTGTACCGGTATGCTAATCTTGAGTTCAGGTAATGGATTCCAATTCAATAGAAATTGAATTAAAAGTAATAACTTCTTAATCATGAAGATTATGCATTATAAGACCATTTTATTATCAACACACCACCAGTAATGCTGGTAATGAGCTGAGTGAATTCAGTAGTCAATGGCTTAACTCACTATGGGAACCAACGAATGAATGAATTCAGGATTTATTTATACATTTATTTTGGTTGACATAACCAGAACTCAAGATTATCTTTAATCTAGCTACATGAACAACGTATGTTTGTTGTAAAGGAGATCTGAATCATGTACTCTATTTTGTTACCAATATTTGGTAGCATTTATATTATCATTTATTTGTAATGTTATTGTCATTCTTTTTGTTTTTGTTGAATAAAGATTAAGATTCTTACTTTCATGTTAATATATTGGCAGTATTTCAGGTGTGAAGATGTTTGAGGGTGCACACATGCTATGTTACAGCTCAGAATCATGACCCTGTACAGGGACCTGTTTCACAAAGCCTTTTTTCAATGACAAATGACTAAAATCAGTGACAAATTTGCTGATTTGCAATCAGAAGAAAATATTGCAGTAGCTTATAACTGAAACTGTCATTTGTCACTGATGACAAGTTTTGTGAAACACCCCCTGCTGCGCTTCTCTTACAATATCAATGTAGTTCCATTCACACTTTCTTGATATTCATTGGCAGAGCTTTAAAAATATTACTTCTGAAGGAGTAGCATTGATTTCATTTGGTACCATGTTTTACACAATGTACATGCATCCAAAGTGTTTTAGAAGAAAGAAAAGGGAATTCAAAAGTTGACTGTTTAAAATCTCAAACCTCAAACTTCTGAGATGTACAAATGTTCAACTGTATGCAAAATATTAACAACAAGATAAACTGAATAAATATGGATTTCCTTGACAGATACCAAATTTGCAGCAAATACTGTACATGTACATGTATTTCTGGCAATGATAACACATGGTATAGAATGTGGTTTCCATGGCTACTAGACTTGCTAATTTTATTTGAATTACACAATCACTTGAATCTCCAATTAATCAACGCTACCTTTAATAACACTCCTCACCACCGCCCATCTTCCATCACTCTTTGATCAGAGCATGATTTTCAAGTTTTCATAGATTCATGCATGTCCACCAAAGCTCAATATACATGTATGTTGATCTGGCTACTGTAATACCTACTACATTTTCATTCAAACTGTGCTGCATTATGATTTCTCTTGTATGTTGCTCTTACTAACTCTGATGGTTCCATCCATGTATGTAATCTATTATACAATGTTTTTTGCAGTTGCTACATGTACTGTAACTTGTTTAACTATGCTGTATGTTCATTCTAATCATTCACGGTTTTGCACTTTAAAAAAAAAAAACCCTGAACTTACATGCATGCATATAATCTCATAATCATTGCTTTCTATTTTGTTAACCCACATTGCATCATCCTTTCTCATCCATCCATTTCTCATCCATCCATTCTCATCCATCCATTTCTCATCCATCCTTTCTCATCCATCCTTATGATATTCACCTCACACCCTGCTCACACCCACCTCCCACCCTGCTCACACCTGCTTTATCAACCTATTAGTTAGAGTGTTGTGGGAAAGACAACTACACAAAGTGGTTCGGCACCTTCGGCATTAATAAGACAACCGGAGAAAAAAACAACATTGTACCAATGTCATGCTGCATTATTCAAGAAGTTGGCTGTAACATGGATGTGTCTTCTGATCCATATGTAGCACGACAAAAGATATATGTATCCGTAAGTCCAACTACATATTTATTTTCTGGACCTTTATTTTGTATTTCAATGTTTTCTCCCTGTGTTGATCAATGTTTATGTGTATAGCTGGAATGCTGTGGAGTGGATAACTACACTGACTGGATGGGATATAACATGTCTCATCCTGACATGGTCCCAGAGTCATGCTGCATGAAACCTGGTACAGCAGGATGCAATCAAGTTGGCTCAGCTACCTTAGATATCTATACAAAAGTAAGCTCCCATATGGTCAAGTATAACGATTTCTCAATCGTGGAAAGGAGATATAACCTCTCATTATCACTTGGATGTGCTAAAATTTGTTGGTCTCAGGATCTGAGATTCAAGGTTTTTTAATTGATTTTTATTGACTTCATAAGTTATACCAGCCCTCCAACTCTGAAGTGGTAGAAATATATGACGAAAGAAACATTGTTATTTTTATAATTTTTGAATGGAATCTGTAATCATCTCTGAAGACTTTGGCATAAGATTTCTGTATGGTGGCCCTGAAGGGACATCGCGAATAGACTAAATCGTGAAAAATATGCGATTAAATTCACGATATCGTCAATTTTATCGCATATTTTTCACGAAGAAATTCACGAAATTGACGATATCGTGAACTTTATCGTGAACTTTTCACGATGAAATTGACGATATCGTGAATTTTATCGTGAAAAGTTCACGATATAAAGTTCACGATATCGTCAATTTCATCGTGTACTCTATCGTGTACTCTATCGTGTACTCTCCTGACGGGCGCTTCGTAAACAAAACCAGCCCTAGCTGGGGGAGACAGAGAGAAGGAAAAAAGGGAAAGGGAAAGAGAAGATAAAAGGAAAGAAAGAATAAGAAGAAGAAAAGAGGGAAACGGGGGGGGGCGAAGGGCTCTTGCCTCCTCCTCACTCCCCCCCCCCGCGAAAAAAATAAATAAGGAGAGAGAGAAGGGAAAGGGAAAGGGAAAGAAAATATAAAAGGAAAGAAAGGAGAGGAAGAAGGAAAGAGGGAAACGGGGGAAGGGCGAAAGGCTCTTACCTCCCCCCCCCCCCCCCCCCCCGCCAAAAAAATAAATAAGAGAGAGAGAGAGAGAGAGAGAGAAGGGAAAGGGAAAGAAAGAAGAGGAATAAGAGGGAAACAGGGGAAGGGCGAAGGGCTCTTGCCTCCACCCCCCCCCCCCCCGCCAAAAATAAATAAGAGAGAGAAGGGAAAGGGAAAGAAAATATAAAAGGAAAGAAAGAAGAGGAATAAGAAGGAAAGAGGGAAACGGGGGAAGGGCGAAGGGCTCTTGCCTCCTCCCTCCCCACCCCCCGCCAAAAAAATAAATAAGAGATAGAGAGAGAAGGGAAAGGGAAAGGGAAAGAGAAGATAAAAGGAAAGAAAGAAGAGGAAGAAGAAGAAGAAAAGAGGGAAACGGGGGCGAAGGGCTCTTGCATCCCCCCGCCCAAAAAATAAATAAGAGAGAGAGAGAGAGAGAGAGAAGGGAAAGGGAAAGAGAATAAAAAAGGAAAGGAAGAAGAATAAGAAGAAAAGAGGGGCTCTTGCCTCCTCCCCCCCCCCCTCCCGCGCCAACAAATAAATAGGAGAGAGAGAGAGAGATAGAGAGAAGGGAAAGGGAAAGGGAAAGAAAATATAAAAGGAAAGAAAGAAGAAGAAGACGGAAAGAGGGAAACGGGGGAAGGGCGAAAGGCTCTTACCTCCCCCTCCCCCCTCCCGCCATAAAGGGAAAGAGAAGGGAGAGGGAAAGAAAATATAAAAGGAAAGAAAGAAGAGGAAAAAGAATAAGAAAAGAGGGAAACAGGGGCGAAGGGCTCTTGCCTCCTTTCTTTTCTTTCTTTTCCTTTCTTTCCTATTCTCCCTCTTTTTCGTTTTTCTCTTTCTTTCTTCTCTTTCCCTTTCCTTCTCTCTCTCTCTCTCTTATTTATTTTTTGGCGGGGGGCGGGGGGACGAGGCAAAAGCCCTTTGCCCCCGTTTCCCTCTTTTCTTCTTCTTCCTCTTCTTTCTTTCCTTTTATCTTCTCTTTCCCTCTCCCTTTCCCTTCTCTCTCTCTCTCTGATTTATTTTTTGGCGGGGAGGGGGGGGGGGGGAGTGAGGAGGAGGCAAGAGCCCTTCGCCCCCCCCCCCCCCCCCCCGTTTCCCTCTTTTCTTCTTTTTATTCTTTCTTTCCTTTTATCTTCTCTTTCCCTTTCCCTTTTTTCCTTCTCTCTGTCTCCCCCAGCTAGGGCTGGTTTTGTTTACGAAGCGCCCGTCAGGAGAGTACACGATAGAGTACACGATAGAGTACACGATAAAATTGACGATATTGTGAACTTTATAAAATTCACGATATCGTCAATTTCATCGTGAAAAGTTCACGATAAAGTTCACGATATCGTCAATTTCGTGAATTTCTTCGTGAAAAATATGCGATAAAATTGACGATATCGTGAATTTTATCGCATATTTTTCACGATTTAGTCTATTCGCGATGTCCCTTCAGGGCCACCATATTTCTGAATATTCCACAAGTTTATGAAAGTGTAAAATAAACATGGGGACACTTCTAAGAAATCCTTGTTATTAAATGTTTATAGTTCAAGTCCCACTGGTTCCAAGATTTTTTCTGACTTGTTTTTCAATACAGATCGATCAATTGATCTTATTTACTGGGTGTAGCCACACATATGTTTAAATAATTGTTTATAGTTTGTTTATAATTTTATTCATAAGGTTACATTTATTACTTCCTAGTACTACATGTTAATTCAGATGATGTTCATTGAAACTAGTTCAATCTATTTAAAACAATTATTTAACTATCAGATTTGAGCTATTATTATCTCTTTTTATTCTAAGAACATTCTGCATCGGCAACTATTTTGACCTTGTTGGAAGTCTGATTACATGTTTATTTGATGTTATTTCAGCCTTGCTACAATGCACTCAAAGATCTTCTGCTTCGTAACATTGGAATTATTGCTGGAGTAGCCATCGGCATTGCTGTCATCGAGGTGAGTACATCTGACATGTTCTTACATTAAAGTTTGTGTGGGGTCTGTTCAACATAGCACCAACTAAGGCATTCAAAACCATGATTGTCTGAAGAAAAGCAAATTATTTGGAAAGGTGAAATGAAGTGCTTCGCCAATATATAAAGAGGAGAAGTATTAATTACTATAACAAGCACATTACTACAATTTTTTTTCTGGGGGGGGGGGATACCGGACGGGTTGTGGGGGCATCTTTGTTATAGAGTGTGGGAAGTCTCCATATTGAACAGTATATATGATTTACATCATTATGAATGTTTCATATTCTAATTTAGTGGAATATTAAGAAATCAAAACATTGGACCATATGGAACAAGAATGAAAACTTCTAGATCTGACACGGATCACAACAGTATAAAGTGTGTGTACACATGGTTTTCTTGAATAAATATTTATATCATTAGTTGTAAAACATAAATTGTGACATACTACTATCAAATGATGGTTACGTCCATGTTGTAATGCAAAGATGGTGATGAATACCGGTAATAGAAAAAGGTAAAAGCCGTTAAACTTTGTTGATTTTTGATATTGCTGAAGAGATATTTTATAATTTCTTTTTTGTTTCAGATCTTTGGTATTGCGTTTGGGTGCTGTCTGATGAGAAAGATCAAGAATGAATACGAGACAGTTTAAGATGGCCACCATGGGGGATGTCTGGGGTTTTATCTTAGGCTTTCTACCTTCTCTCATTATCAACCTTTCTCATTATATCTAAGTAACTCTTTTCAAAATCTAAATCTAGAGAAAAAAGCTAATGTTTTGGGAGCCAAGCTCTATCAAAAAGTGTATTTACTTTGCTAATTGATTTAATTAACATGCTATAATTTTGCGTTTGTCACTTTGCATTGAAGAAGGCATACTTTTAGAAATGATCTAAGTTTACAGTACTGCACAAAAAGGGCTTATAATACTGAACACTCATTCTATTTATTGAACTTTGTTGTATACATGTAGGTATTTTTTATGTTGATAATGTTAAAAAGAAATTGCATGTAGAAGAAAAGCAATATTGTTTTGTTCAAACTTAGTTTATTAGAATGTATATAACACTCTGATATTTTTTATTTTTATTTGAAAATAATGATTTGCAAAGAATTTTTTTTATTTGCAGTGTGAATGAAAACTGATATTTACAGATCACTTTGAGTTCTTTAGGATTGAGTTCAAAATAGAAAAATAAAGAAAAAATTTAAGTTGGAAATATATATATAAAAGTGCAAGTAGTAACTGTAAATTGGATATAGTACTGTAATATCTCTTCTTTTGTGTTTGTCTTTGTCACTAAAAAAAAATAAGTTTAAAAGGTGTTCATGTAGAGGGTGGGGAAAGTGTTGGTTTTGGTAAATGTGTAAAGTATATAACATTTTAATTAGTTTATTCTCATTCATTCTAATATGTCTTCTGAAGTTTAGATAATCTGATTCCTTTTCCAAGATTGCTGTAAAATTTAAGAAGTGTACAAGTGAAAGACCATGATAATGTGTCATGTACATGCTTTATTCTCCATTGTAACATATATTTCTTCAAAACTCATCTAAAACACTTGTCGTTCAGTCTTTTGAACATGTACTGTACTTGTATCGTTCGTAAAATTGTAGAAAGAGAGAATTATCGGTAGATGAATTACAGATGGGATGATAATGATTCGGTCTTGTAATTGTTCGCAAAGTTGATGAGGAACAACATGGCTTTGATATTAACAGCATTTTCTTTTTTACTACACGAATCACCGTGCGTTGACTCAGCAGTATATATTTGTGTGTTTGTAAATATGTGTAATATGTGCATGTATTGTTACATAATGAATCATTACCATCATGACAACAATTTTAAAGTTACTGATCAGTTCATATTGCTACTACATAAATACTTATGAAGTTTCACGTTCACTTGGTCAGTTAAGTACTTTTGATCACAATCCTGCAAGTAGTAATCACTACTTCTTTAAAGCATCAGTTAAAACAAATTTTGATTCTCTAAATATGCTTTATACTATTATTACACATAGTACTACTACTACTACTACTACTACTACTACTACTACTACTACTACTACTACTACTACTACTACTTCCCTGTACTTATACTACCAGTACTCCTCCTCTTCCTCAAGTACTTTGAATGCAGTAACTACATGTATACATGATATTACTGTGAAATGATACACATGTTGCTGGTATACATACCACATTGGTTACACCATGTGCTATGCTAAGATTGCCCCAATAGACAGTTGATATATCAAAAACCACACCTGGTTTTAATGGGTTTCAAATTGAGTCATTTATCAGTGTACACTGCAGTGTCTTGGGTATTTTGATACCTTACCCATACTTAAAATGTTGTTTCAACAGGAATATAGTGCCATCTAAATGTTGTAAATCATCATCGTAATGACTTGTATTAAAGAGGAATTAATGTACATGTATGCTATAAAATGGAACATATTTACGTGTCGAGAATAAGCAGCACATTGTGTTATAGGAAACATCCTCCTTGGCTTGCCGGCCGGCATACCAGCATATCTTAGAGAGTATCATGCATCAACTCAATGGGCTTTCTTTAGAAACCTCACAGAGTTCCATCATGGAGCTAGTGCATTGCTTGCTAATGCATAGGTACCAATACTATAGATCATGTAATGGCCTTGGATAATGTGCACTACGTATGTTAATTGAATGGATACTGTGAGTAAAGATTGAGTACTTTGAGCAATGATATATCATGTACAAATATATATGACACAATGCACATCATATTATTCTATTTTGTAGTTTCACCATCTTTGACTAGATGCTTTTTTCCTAACCAGAAAATTTCTGTTTGAATAGTATTAGAAGTCAACAATGTCTAAAAGGATTTATTCTGTGGTTTCTCAATCATATCGCACTTCTACTCGGTCTCATAAGGAACAATAGCTTGTGTATTTCCTGTAAAGTGAAGCAAATACAATGTAAGGATACTATAGTATAATGTTTTTGGGGAAGTGAAACTACATGTTGTATCGTTGTAAGTAGAGCTGTTGATCAATGGCTGTGAAAGCTTCATGTGTCCTTGTAGCTGTTTGTATACATGTCCTACATGTACATCATCATTGTAATTCTCTCAAGAGCTGGTTTGTTTCAAGTACGTTCTTCATTTGTTCACAACGTATTTCATAATGGTGATATAGAGATGTGCATTCAAAAGCTAACCATTTAAAACATTTATTTTTCATGGCAGGGTTTCTCTAAAAGTGTCAGACTCATAGGAATTGGGTTTTTCTTGTAAGTAACATTAATAGCAAATACATCCTTATACCAAAGACTTGCGTTTTGAAAAAAGTAACCATTACCTAACTCAAGTTTCTATGAAGCCAGCCAGGGCTTTGCTTTTTATAGCAAGGACATATAGCACACATTTCTATTGAAAAATAAGGAAATAGTGTTAGATAGGAATGTTGGAAATACTATTTCCTATCACTTGTGTGTGTAATCATCGAACTGAGGGTATGCAAAAATTTCACAACGCGTAACTCACAAAGAAATGTTTTATATTCTCACTAAATGATGTGATCTATTTTCTTCAGATTTGTCTATCATACTTTTATACAGAATACAAATTATATATGACGAGGGTCTACTATCCACTTTAGAAATCATTATTAGATGTAACATATTTTTCTTTAAATATCTGGTCATTTATACTATGGGAATTCATCTCTTCACATTTATTACTCAACGACTATTGTGACTGCTAATAAACACCAGATTTAGTGTCTCTCTATATCTCTTGTTCATTCTTTCTTTGTTTCGGTGAATGTGTATTTTTTTTTCTTGTCCGAAAGGGTCCTTCATAAATGACATGCTATTACCGGTATGTTGTATATATTGGCTTGTGATATACCAGAGTTAAAACCCTGATGCTTGGCATACAGTCAAGTGTAGCAAAGGAAGTTCGACAGTGATCTAAGCTTTTCCTTTGATAAACATGATGTAGACCTGAACCAAATATCTGTGGAATGATATATAACATCAATCATGGCAAAAACATGGAAGCAATTTAAATGTTGTTTTTTTCTTCTTTGTTTTAATCTCAAATCCACTTGACAAAACAGCCTATTATAACAAATGGAGCAAACAATACAAAACTCTACAATTCTTCACCTGAATGTTCATTCTTAATGAGCAATCAGGGTGGTCTTCCTGTACAGTTTTCCACCTATTAAACTAAAGGAAGGAAAAAGGAATGCTAAAAGCAGAAATGGCTTTTGTTCCCCTCCTCCCCCCCCCCATGTGTATTATTTATTGAAGATACAATATGCTGATTGTATTAACATGTTCAATAGTCAAAGGTAGACTAGACATGTGTTCATAGAGTTGACATTTACCCTTCTTTCAATTTATCAAACAAGGCAACAAGCCTCTATTTGAATATTATCCCAATCATATAGAAAGTTTACTTGGACTTTGGACCCATAGTTTGGGTGTGGATACTGTCGTGTATTTCAAATTCACTGTGTGAATGTGAATGGCTGTGATGTGAGTGCAATAGTATGAAAGTGAGAAAATGGGAGGTTTGGTCACAAGTGTATATCAAATATATCGTCTGGAGTCTGAAGAATATTGTACACTTAAACACAGAGCTAACCTTCTTCTGGCTCTGAGCAGACGATATATGTAGGCAAGTCCAAGATATTTGGTCATATAGTGTTCCATATATTACCTAGTATTGTGGAGTTCTGAACATCAATTGACCAACAACACTTGGTCTGATGAGCTCTGATCAGATATGTGTATACTAAATGGTGCTGATGGTAATGTATGGTACAAGATAGCTTAGACTTGCCTATGAATGTCTGTATGATGTACAGGAACCATCAAGCTAGAAAATGGTTTTCAGCTTAAGAACCAAATACTTGATAACATAATATACATCTGTTTATAAAAACCAATGAGAAAATGTAGAATCCTAGTGAAATCAAATTGCGTGGGCAGACACCAGATGGCAAACAATGAATTGTAAAACCAGAACATTTAAATTTTGCGAGGTTTTTTAAAGGAAAGTTCCATGACCAGAAACAATGGAATCATTACTAGACATTTTTGGTTTTCATCTTGCAAAAACATGCAATCTCTAATAGCTTGTAAAAAATGTCATGTTGTGAAGTCTTTGGTTCTACATTACTCTAGTCTCTAGATACCCAAGCCTGAAAATTATGCTGTCCTAGATGGATGTGTTTGGAAAACAGAATAAAAGGGGCATTTTATGAAACATGGGTATTTAAAAAAAATCAAAGATGATTACTGGTAGACAGAATGCATTCTGACCTTGATTGTACCAGTGCAAAAGACAAACGTAGGAAGAGAGTAACCATTATACTGACATTCTCCTTCCTGTATATATATATACAATCCCCAACACATTTGGTAAATGCACAGTAGACAGGTTATCAATCAAGTATGATACATGTATAAACACATCAAGATGACTACCGGTATGACAATAGTGATGCAATTGAGACTTGCCCCTTCCTCTCTAATTGCTCTTTTACAAAATACTTTACACATATACACTTCATCTGTAAATCTTTCACTACTTTCTTTCTACGTCATTATCCCAAGTTCTTTGTCTTTTCCTGTTTTTTCATGTCTTTGCATTCCTTGCCCCATCCCACTGTTTTTTCTCCTCTTCAGTTCTTTCCTTTCCTTTCACAACAGATACACTCCGTCATATTCATCACTAACAGGTCAATTGTATCTCTAAAAAACAAAAGATAAGGACATCTAGAAGACAACAAGCACTTTACAATTAAAATGTACCACTCTCCATCATCTGTTCTTATCCTCTGTTAACTTTATCTCAACCTTTCTCTCTCACTTGTCTCCCCTCTTTCAATCTCTCCTCATCTCTCTCTCTCTCCCTTTCTCTCCCTCTTTCTCTCTCTCTCTCTCTTCTTCTTTTCTTGATCTTCTTCTCATTCTCCCTCTCTCTACATTCCCTACAATGCTAACTATCAGTAGGTATCTATTACAATGACCATACAAATAAATACATTTACATGACTACGATAACTGCATTTTATGATAAGGATTAAACTCTTTATTCCAACCAGTTTCTCTGTATAGAATACACATATAATTTGTCTATCATGGACTACTGTAGAACTACTCAACAGTACTCAAAACAGAAATAATATGCCATAGCATTAGGAATGTACCGGCCCAAATGAATAAAAGTATATACAAAATAGCTGCAAAGAAAACTAGTACTAAAATTAGCTCTACAAAATTGCCATGGGGAGTGGGATTGGGGTTAACATTAAAACATGAATGCATGAAACTAATACAGGTTTAATAACGTACATCAAACTATTTGCCATTGCCACAGTGAATACATGGGAACATTAAATGACCAAGACATCCTTGTTGATGAAACTAGTATAGAAAAGTTTGAATAGTACTATTTCACATGAACACACAATTAGTACCAAAAGGTGGCCAATGAACATAGCTACATGAATGATAAATACACCTCGTACAGTACAATACCACAAAGATGATGATTTACAGACATTTCAAGTCTGTCCTAAAATAACTGATTCCTCATCATAGAAAACACTCTTAAGGACTTTAAATACATAACAAATGAAAGAGAAAGTACTGAGTGAAAATCTGTTATTAATCATATAGATTACAGCAAGCACTGTGTCTACATACCCACTAAATGAGTACACTGGGTGACCATTGTTTAAGTATAAAGCTACACAGAACTGAATACTCAAGTATTCTTGAAATAATTTCGATGAAAATACAAATACTACAGAAAAAAACAACTAAATGCTACTCATTAATTCGAACAAAATGTTAATTTCCTCTTCAATTGAACTAATGAAGTACCCGGTAAAATGGGAAAAGCCTCTTCTGTTTTATGGTTAAGGCTTTTCCAGAGAGTTTCTGTGGCTACAGCTTATGAAACCAACAGCCCTTGAGACCAACAGTCTCACTTTTTTTCTCACATCTTTTCTAGGGGATCACACTGGTATTAATCTTGTGGGCTGTCAGTCTACTGGGATATCCTGGTTTACTGCAGATCACCAGTCAATGAGACAAAATACTCCTTGAAACATGATATACATGTATGTAATCATGCATACAGTTCATTGAAGCAAGATGTACACAGGAATATAAATAGAAGGTATAAACCGTATACCATTGACTTGTATGCCCATCCACAATTCCAATGTATAACCTCATAATACTTTCATGCATCTATCAATATTGTCTATCAATCCTTGGTGAATACTAATCATTTGATACATATATTAAACCATTGAAATAGTACCGTTGTCACATTACACATACATTTGTTAATGGACAGATGAAATGGGACCGTTCTAGGATTACATACAGGTTACCTTCCAATGATGGCAATAGCAAATAAATGGGACAGCCCTAAACAGCTCTGCTTTGCATGTAGCCTTTATCATTACACAGGGTACATTAGACTGAGGAGTGTATGTTGTTAGTTATTCCATATCCTATGGAATCACTTGAGAAAGTGCAGTTAATCCCTTGATTAATACAACTAATCTAAAATACAATGAAAACTATTGCAGAATACAGCCCCAAGGGAAACTATGAATAACATAATGAAAGGTTCAAACAGGAAAACTATCATAAAAGGGAAAAAAGGAGAAAAGAAACTTAACTATACAAGCATACTACATCAAAGTCCGAAGTTATATACAAACAGAACAAAATAATTCTTGATAGTTCCTTATTCCAGATTGCACAATAGTAATACTCATAGCACATAATTAAATGGAGAAATTAGAAGCAGATCTTGTGATTAAATAACTCTTATAATAATTGCAACAACATATTAATTGCAGGAAAAAAATGTCTTAACAAAAAAAACGAACAATAATGCATGTACATGTGTTGTACAAGGAAAAAACTACATTGAAACAAATAATACAAATAACTGAATCCAAGCATGTAATACATTGTTCTCCCCCCCTCAATAATCTGAATTTCATTTGAGAAGCTTCAGTATTTACATATACAAGTATGGTGCTTTTGAAAATAGAATATAAAGGTTATTAAAAAAGAGCATACAGCCTGCAAATAGAAATTAAATTATAATCAATTACAATGTGAATCCATTCATTATATCCACAGAGTTTCCAGAAATGTGTGCAAATTAAACAAGGATAAACCATTACCAGCAACATTATTCCAAAATACAGCCATATCATGGTAGCATTTCACATGGGGAAAACAACAAGAAATCTGATAGCAAAGAACACTTGAATAATTGAAATCAGACTCTTGTGCTCTTTTTTGATAAGGTACATTTTTTACAAAGTACCTCAGTAAAAACACTCAATTTGTGCACAGGCCTTGGATTCTTTAAGTACTACCAAAATCAACAAAGCATGAGGAGTAAATATTGACACCATGGAATATGGATGACTGAAGGTGGGCTAGAGTGGAAAATCAATCATATGGAAACAACTCAAACAAGTAAGACTGTGTAGCTGAAATAGACTTGAGAATACTTCACATTTTTGACATTTAAATGCACTTCTTATTAAACATTCATAGAATATTGAAGATAGCACAAACTTGATCACAGTGGTAGATTTATGGTTTCTACTTTGGCATTTAAAGGCTAGAGGTAAGATGAGAGTCAGAGTGTTGGTCAAGCTATATATCATCTGATGTAAGCCAGAAAGCATGAAGTCTATGTTAAACTACATGTATAAGAGTTAAGGTCCTTCTGGCCCTCAATAGATGATGTTGCCTAGGTTTGATAGAGATAGAGATCATCTCAAAACCTCATTTGAAAATCTAAACAAAAAATTAAAAAAAATCAAGTTAAAATAATTAAACAAATTCCAGCACATACAATTAAAAATTGAGTTTGCATACTCGCTATCGTGCTAGACCCCTGTACACTTTAGCAACACTGTATGAACCTTGATTACACATGACATGGTAGGGTTTTTTCATGACGTAGTGGAACACGCTTCACTTTCCTGAATCTTTGAAGAAACAAAGAGTAGGTGTAGTATCTTTGTCATGGATAACTACTATTTCCATCACTGCTTGCCATTTATTTATGTATAAAAAAGGTAGAGGTGGTGTTGGCTAGTGGGTATATCACTAGACTGTGGATCACATGGGAATGTTAGGGTCCCGCTGTGGGGCCAACCACTTTGGCAAGACATTTATTTCTATTTGCCACTCTCCACCCTGGTAAAGTTAATGGGCACCAGGTAGGAACAAATCCTTAAATGTTTTTAAACCCCTTATCATGGCAGCTCAGATACAGCCAGGGTAATAATATGATACATCGTGTAAAGTGCACTAGAGTACATGTGTATAGTAGCTGCGCTATATAGATCAACTTGTTTTTCCCCTTCTAAATCAGCGGTTTTCTGTGTTTGAATAAAGAAGCCCACTACCATCTGTAGACAAGGAAATAGGGATAATAACTATAACATGATACATCACTTCTATACATACAAGAATCAGACATATACATCCAAAATAGCAAAAACTAATAAAGGAAAGTATAAATCATGAAACATCTCATCTGAACTATATATCCTGCAACACACTTAATATATAAAAAACAAAATCAATCTTAATCTAGTCTTGTATCTGTCAACATACGTCCATCTTTCGGCATGAGTTCAATATATGTCAATTTTTTTCTTGATAATACACATGTACAAACAACACTCTTAACTATTTTCGGAGGAAAAACAGGAGGGACGAAAGAAACACTACGCTTGACAATGGGCAATCTTGAACAGTTTGACTGTGTATAATGTTAAAGCACTAATGATGCTGTGTCTAAACCTTGCAGACTACTTCCCCAGAAATGCTAAAACTTTGAATACTGACATCAACTTAATGAATTCTGAAACCTGGCTTTTATGTTTTAGATTCTTCTGAGAGAGGAAACACAAAGGAATGATAGATAAAATAATTATGGGATTGCAAATTAATAAAGTGAATATTATTAATTATGGAAACCAGCAGCATATTGGGCTATATCTTGGAATTTTCACCCGAAAAAAGATATACTTACAAATCTATACTCTATCAATGTGTTCTATTTTAAAATTATTTTGAATGCCTAATCATTACTTCATAAAGGTCATCTGTGTGTGCATTTCCATGCATAAAAAGGAATTCTGATTTTTTTTTAAAAATTGAACTTTGAGAATATATTCCCCACACATTTTCAAAATATATCAAAGTAATACAAGGGCAATTTGGCAAGCCTATTTGTATGGCATCTCAAATAAAAGGAATTAAGCCCTAACTATATTACTCACAAATATTTGTACATATCTGCTAATGCCATACTACCTACCATTTGGTATGCAGTCTAATATAACATACATATACCAAAATGTAATAATGAAGGTTTGACATACAGTGAGAAAAATTCTGTGGATCTTACATTGATGCCTCCTTTTTTACTATCAAATTTTTGTCATGAAAATAGCTTCCCATAAAATAAAGACATTTCTTATGTAGCTATTTAACTTGGTTGGAACTTCTCAATGTGCATCTACTATCTCCAAAATCACTTAATACACATGCAGCTTTATTAATCTTTACAAAAGCTGATTCCACATAAATACATCTTCTCATACTTGAAAACCTACCAATACTAGATATCTTTTCCTCACCTTACATACTCAACACAGAGAATGTACAACAATGGAATGCGTTAATTTCTAATATTAATCTTCTTCAATATTCTTTGTCTAATAAGAAATATACAAGAGGTTCTTGATTATGACTTCATAGAAATCAATGCAAATGGCTGATGCATAACACATTGCATGAAAAATGCAATGTATATTGTACAACAGGAAACAACCAATGTAAGAGAGAACATCCGACCTTTTAAATTACAACAGAAGCTAATCAAACAGGACTATACCAATTTTTCATCATTACATTTTTATTGTGTTCCTCTTTGATAACACATCTCTAAAAATGGCACATTTTGATATCTTAGTCAAAGAGAAAATCCTTTACTAATTTTATCTCACAGAAATGTAATATCAAAACTGTATGTTGCAGAGCTGCAGAACTCGACATTAGGTTTTATATTTTTGCATTGATTGCTATGAAGTCATTGAATCCATCCATCGATGCCACGCTAACAATTCCTATCTTCAACCTCCTTTCCCTCCTCATGTCCAATATCATCGGGATTAGCGAGAGGATCAAGATCAGCAAAGAGATTAAACCAAGCAGACATGTCTGTCTTCTGTCCCTTCTTGAAGGCTTGAGGTTTACTGGAATCAGTCTTGTTAGCTCCTGCTGGGGTTTGCTGGGCTGCCGACATTCTATCAGCAAAGAGGTCTGAGTATTGGGGTGGAGCTGGCATGCCCCCTTCCCTACTACCCTGGGGTGTGGTGGCGGGGGAACCTAGGGAGAGAGAGAACAATAATAACAGGTGTCTCACTCATAGGGCATAGCAAATCTGTTCTACATTAGACAAAGACAAAATGCAGCAGTACACACAAGTCTGTACACAAAAAATACTTGGTAAGTGTATTTGACCTATCATTCTCCTCTTTTTCAGATTCCAGTCCGGTAGGTAAAAGAGAACTCTTTGAGAATAAAAATAAATATAATACCAGTCCAGTCATAAACTGAATTTTAGCACTGTCACTACCTTGTTTTGATGAGCAAACATGAGAAGCAACAGACAACTTCAACATAATTGCTTTCTAGACAGGTACCTGTATGCTACAGACTTCTTGCATGTGTTATATGAATATCCTTTTACTGACATTTTGATTGATGGTAAGACCTATGTCACTGCTATCACCTCCTATGGGGTCAAAGCTCAGAATAGAGGGGTAATCACTAGGATTATACCATTCATCAAGAGGTCATTCACACACCTCAATGTTTATCTCTGGGCCTTTTTGCTTAAAAAGTTACGTTTAATCGCAACTCAAAAAATAAAAAGGCAAGTTCCAAATATGCGATCCTGATTGGTTGAAAATCAAGTAGCGTTTAATTTTTTGAGTTACATTTAAACGCAACTTTTTATGCAAGAGGGCCCAGAAAGCATAAACATTTCACATCGTGGCTAAGCATGATATACTTCCCCTCCCCTGATCCCACACCAATCTTAAGAGCTCAGAGATTAGACACAGGGGTAATATCTACCACTCACCTGTGGGCATTTCACTCATCATAGATGTAATCTCCAGTAGATCAGATGGCATGAAGCCTCCCATACCCTGATCAGTCGAGGGTTGTTCCCCTTCCATCTCCCCTGGTACGGCGCCCTCTATAGGGGTAGGGAGCTCTGACGAAACACCAGAGGGCGTGTTTAGGATCTCATTTAATAAATCCATCTCATCCTTCATATCATCTTGACTGAGTAAGTCACCTGATAGCAGGTCAGCTGAAATGTAGGCACCTAGGTGGACAAATAAACAATTGAATTTAAAACAAAGTTGAGTGCCAGTAACAAATATACAATGAAGTGTCATATATGATTGACATCTTTTTATTATTTTGGCTTCTATCCTATCTTGCATTTTACTGATAACTGTAAGATGAAAATTTTCAGTATGTCTATATTTGATGCTATTTTTTAGTTTAGGGTTGACTTATAACCTACAGGTGTATGTTCAATTGATCACGTTGTGGGAAAAGATCATCTAAAAAGTGTTTTTAGTATGAAAGGAGAGAAGAGGAATAATAACACCCCTTCCCTTCACATAAAAAAGGCCATGGTTTATTTACCCTCATGTAATCTAGACAAACAATGACAAACGATCTTTAGCAAACATTGGACCTATGTGAAACATTCCTACAAACAAGAGACTACCAATAGAGCTTTGCTTTAAACCTCATCTGCATGAGACTAAACTGACACAGTAAACCAGTTTCAAACCTAAAGAAGTTTGATGAAAAGAGTTTACCTGGCGCTGAATGCTTAATTCATCAATGAAAAGCTTCTATAACTATACAGGGCATCACCCACATCCACAATACATGCCATGGACAATGAGAATTACAGGCTGACGCAACAGATGTCTTTTGTTCTGATAAATCACTGACTACGGTTCCACTTTCAGTAACCAGAGAGTTCAGATGTTTCAAGAGGCCCGTCTTCATTATCTTGAGTTTGCCAAATAACCGCCATTTTTACTATCTCGATCGCAAATAATTTGCGTTCCCATCAGCCCGCAGTTGCAGTTAGCGGAATATTTGGTCAAGAAAACATCAAAAAAATCTTGGTCTTGTTACCTAAATACCCTGCTTCGGGATGACATCCCGAGTCTGAAAATAGCGGGTTATTTGGCAAACTGATGAAGACAGGCCTTTACTGACACTAGATTAACTTACACTAAGAATTCACAAGGGGAATGATTATGTTCACTAAAGTAAACAGAGGGCTAATCAAAGATCTCTAAAGTTTGCCAAAATTGACTACATCTTCAAGTTTGTGTGATTTTTTAAAATTTCACCTTCACAAAAAGCTCTTGTAGACTTCTCTAACAAGCTAATTGCATGAAAACCAAGTTGATCATCAAAATATGATTGGATTACACTCTCTTTGTAAATACATGGTATAACAAAAACCTACTTCCTAGAGCTCCTATGAAGCCAAAATATATTTGTGATTTCATGCATCACAAAACAATTGAATTTTACTAGACTATTTTTCAGAACGTCAGTGCAAGTAACTGATATCTCCAATCTCTTCCTTCCAATGATCGATGATTTCTTTGATTTTCTACAATCCTAAGATGCAACTGTTAAAGGCATCGTTTAACAATGTTAAATCTGAGGTGCATGGCCCTACATGTTATCATTGTCTGTGATATGGTGTAATATTGAAGCCCTAAAAAAGTTGTGCTTCAAAATGATCATGAAGTGCCTCAAAAAAGTAAAAATCTTTGAGTAACCAGTTTACCAAACTCCTTTACCCTAACAGACTGTAGTGTTACATAAACCGTTAAGGAAAAAAAAAAATTTGATTTCCAATATCTTGATAATCAGATAGGCAATCGGCTTGTGTAAGTCATGGGGTTCCTGACTGACCTAAAGGTTTATAATTATCATTGGAGCATGAGCTAAATCCAGGATTTTGTTTCAGAATCTGAAAAAAATGTTACTGAGTCACTTTAATAGAGGTTGACCACCTTTCGATTGCTAGTGTTCTTACCAAAGTCATCTTTGTCTGTTCCCTCCTGACCTCCCATGAGATTCATGAAAGCCGTCCTCTCTGCAGGATCCATCTCCTCTCCAAGTAGATTATTAGCTCCTTGTCTTGAAGGGTCATGGACACCATTGTTCTTAGCGTCTAGAGATCCTCCCTGGTCTATGTGCCTTTCAGGATCTTCACCAAGGGATATTAATCTGATCAAGACAAAGACAATAATAATAATAATAATAATAACAATAGGCATTTCTATAGCGCCGTCTATCTAGATAATTCTATTCCGAGGTGCATTTATTATTACCCCGGCTTTAGCCTAGCTGCCGTTTATACAGGGCTCCAGCATTTCAAGGAATTAATTCCTGCCAGGTACCCATTCACCTCACCTGGGTGGAGAGTGGCAAATGTAGATCAATGTCTTGCCAAAGGACATTAGTGACGCGGCGGGACTCGAACCACGGACCTTGCGTTGACAGTCCGGCAACATATCCACTAAACCACGACACCTCAATCATTAAAATACTATTTTTTCAACTGTACCAAGTCAGCAATGTCAAACAAGACATTTTTGCGTACAGACACTTTGCGGATGGTGTTGATTCGTCAGTTTCATGCTAACGAATTACAACACTAAAATTTTGCAATTTGCAGGAGTTTCTGGTTTCAGAAATGGCCATCATTAACGATGTGCAAACTCTCCTAGTGTTACAGTATATTATCAATAGTTTCATCCAGTACTGTCAGTCCTATGTCATGTATGAAAGAGCTAAGAACCAAAATGAACCTAAAATAAGATGGCAGCAGGAACATCATCAAGTCAACCCCTTCTTTCTTGTAATACAAGTTCTTTAATTATATTCATGTTCCTACGTATAAATTGTATTGTTTGAACAGATGTCAAATATGTTGTCAAATTATATGGCAGAAAATAAATGTTCATTTGAATTGAATTGAATTGAATACAATACAAGAATGTGATTTTAACAGAGTTAAGAGCACATTTCCTCTCATCTCAAGTGAACCTTATACATCTCAGAGACACAGGAAAGTGATTAAAGTGCAATCTGCACGATACACACAGCAACCCCAAGTACAATAGACCATTCCCTAGAGTTATACATGCATGCAATGTGAATGTAGATCCCTGCACACAGATTCACATTATATATGGGATTAAATTACCTTTGCCTAGCAACCTGTTGAAGAGTATCTTTATCCTCTATCACTTCTTGTGCTTCATCAAACTCTGTCCTACTTGATCTCTTAGGATTAGTCTCTTCAGCCAGCTGTTTACTGGTCTGTGTCAAGTCCTGCAATTCAAGGAATGTATAAATGTCATATAAACTTTTGCAATATAAGGATATTCAAGATCAGCAAGCCTGTATAAAAAGGCTACATGAAATACAAAGCAAAGTTAATGTTGCTGACAGTGACTGTCATAGATATAATAAATGCATATTCTCCACATTCTAACAGGCAAATAGCTGACTTTTATCATGGGCATTCTACAATCATGCTTCCATAGAGGGATGGGGAGTATTGCAGGTTTGGAAGTACTCTTTGAAAAGGGAAACAAAGGCTATTTATATAGCACCTCCATCGCCTTAGGAGTGATTATTTCAAAATGTACAAAGTGGGACCTCTTCATGTTTTTGAAGATCTGTGGATATTCGGGGTCATTGCAGTAATGTGCTAACCGTGAACTGGTCTATTGCACGTTTGACTGCATCCATTGTTATTTGTTTAGGCATTGAATTGAGATGCATTATGAATTTCATTCTATTCAGATCATTCACTACTAGTCAGGGCACAATGACAAATATTCCTTTAAAAACCCAAGGTATTCTCTGATGGCTATACAATATCTGATGACATATATACCTTAGTCAGCACCAACAGGTTCTGTATAGATATTCTACCGTAATTCATGATTCAGCTGAATCTATATCAGCTTGTGTCAAATACAGCAGAAGTACACGACCAATTTTAGCAACCCAAGTCTAGACCCTGCATTATATCTAACCTGCATATGCTGGGGCTACATTCTATATACATGTTTGCAAGGGCTACATTCTATATATGCTAGGGCTACATTCTACATATCTCGTTATATTCACATCTCAAAGCAACAGAGATTAATAAATAAATTTGTTTTGTTATTAGAAGAATTATTTCTTTCTTCTTATGACAAGTATGGAACACAATAATGGCATCACTGTTAACTCATGTATTTCACAATACACTGTACATGTATATCAAATTTCTGAAAAGATTTGACATTATAATCCATCATATTCAATAATAGGCCTATACATCTTCCAAGTCAACCATCACCTCCAAAGTGACTTGTTCTTAATAAATTAGTAAATAAAATACAATAAAACAAATGAAAAAAAATCTTGTGTAATATAATTTTTAATTTTTTTTTTTTAATGACTCTTATATGCAACTTTGTTATAATTTGAGCCGGGTTGTGTACGCTTCTTTTAATCTCCCACTGAGTGCAAACAGAACGACAAGTAATCTAAAGAATGATTTGAAATGATGATAATTGGGTAAAAAGAGCATGATTAGAAACAAGATAGGAAGCAAGAAAAGACACAACTAACACAGTCACCCTCTGCTAAACCATTGATGAAATTGAAATGAAAATTAGATACTGAGGCAAAGACTGTAACAGTATTTTGTTACATACAGATGGCAATTTTAGTTTTCAAATATAACAAACATAACATTTTATGGAGAGAAAGAAAGAAGAAAGATAGATGGCAATTTTAGTTTTCAAATATAACAAACATCTAGTTTCATGGAAAGGAAGAGAGAATGCAAGAATGTCTCTAAATACACAGCCATATTCAGACATGAAAGGGTACATTGCTTTGAAAAGGCCACTGTATGAACATAATATGAGATCAGAAGAAGAGCAGTGCACTTCACATCCGATCATTTTATAAGACATTGGTTTAATAGTGAAAATGCACAGCGGTCATTGTTGCACAGATTTCTTTACCCCTCCAACACAACCCCTGGAATCTTTGAGGCAATATACCCAGCCATGTCTGAATAGGGCTTCATTTTAACAATAAACAGGAAACAAAAATGAACTACACGTATACCGCCATTCTAATGCGTGGTCAAGAAGAAGAAGCATTCCATGAAATTCAGGAAAAAAAATCAAAGTTCCATCACCATTGTCTAATAATCAACAACATGCAACCAGACAAATGCTATTAAACAAGATGAGATGAAAGTTGGTTAAATAAATGATGATTGTTGCAGCGTGAAGATTTACGTTTGTTTGCAACCGGCCTTGAGCGTTCTGTTCTAGCCCATCCCAATCAGGTACTACATCTTTAGCTCCGGTCATCTCCGCAAGCTGTTTACTGGTTTCCGAGAGCTCCTAAGGAGAAATACATCATCACAAACATAACAGATACACAGGGTCAGTATGTACATAGCAAATCAAAACAGATATGTAGAGAGAGAGAAAATAAAGAGAATGAAAAGAAAAGAGAAGAGAATGGGATAGGGTGGCTAGACAAGGGGAAGAAATGTTCCAGATGAGTGGAGAAACAATAGACAAAGGGACACAAGGGTAAACTGAAATTATACGCGAGCATTGCCTGATATATATTTTTGTTTAAATCTGATACACCATTCTTTCCATGAATACTTTATCTCTTTTCCTTACCACATCCAAGCATATAATATGCCCAGAAAATAGTCTGTTGGTGAAATTAACGGGGGAAAACTTGATTCTTATAACGATCTATTCTCATAATGAACTATACATTTGTTCAACCAATTGCTTAGTTATAAACAGTTAATTTCCTTGTCTCCACTCATGTATAACCAAATACACATAAACTAGGCCATCCAAAATACATACAGTAAACAGAAAGTAGCCAATAAAAACAACTTTTTTAAAAAACTGGCTCTCATTGTTAATTTTATTTATAAGATCATCAATTAATTTTTAGGGGCTGTTTTTCTGATGAATCCCTACATCTTTTACTAAGGATGATTAGGATCACTCTCTTCCACACTGTCTTGCATATCATCTTTACGATGTTAAACCCTTGTAAACTCACATTGGTAATACAACTGCGGTTTCACTAATTGGTTAATGGTTTTGTTCCTAATGTTCCATGTATGACTGATTCTACTGATTCTATAGTCCATCAGTCAGCCTTTTGTTTTAGATTGTATTACGTGAGAAACATCAGAGAGATATTAAATACATCTATTTTTCAGTCTAGTTTGGTATACAAATCTGGCACATTACGGGTTAAAACAACAGAGCAATTGGGAAATTGGGATGTAATGTACGTATAGTAATCACTGCAAAATAAGCTTACATAATCACAGCAAAACATTGATGGTCTATTTCACTACTTTTATTAAACAAATTCAATTTAACTCTGCAACAATGAAACAAATTAAACCATCAAACAAACAGACTTTGCACAAATAGTTGCACAAATAGTTGGACAATACATACAAGATGAGTGGCTTCCAAATTAAAGCACTTACATGATATATATATATATATATATATATATATATATATATATATATATACCTCTTATTTTAAATATAGAGGGAGGGGTAGTGGTGATTTAGTGAGGTTATCTTTTAACTCAATATTCACTTCACTATAGAGTACCAAAGCTGTGTAAAAATGTGTTTATAAAATTTCTCAATTTTTTCTTCATTTTCCGAAAGATCATCAAAAACAATGTCCAAATGTCGAAAACCAATTGAATATGTTAAGTATTGGCTGAGATATGACCATCTAAATAAATAGATTTCCTATAGGGAGTCAGTGTTATATTGCTCTGGCTCATAATGTTATGAACCAAAGCAATCACTGTGTTCCCATATGAAATCTATTTATTCAGATGGTCATATCTCAGCCAATACATTCAGATATTTTTTTTTTATGCTCTTTCGAGAAAATGAAGAGAAAATTGAGAAATTCCCAAAATAGATTTTTGATGACGTCACACTTCACCACTCTATTAAAGCTGTTGAATATGAAGTTCCTGGTGATGCTATCAACAATAAAGAAGATCATAATAATGATTGCTATGACAATGATGCCTTACCTTGAGCATGTTGAATTCATAATGTTGATACCCCCGGAAGCCTTCTTGGACCGCAGCCATGGTTCTTGACGTCTTCTCCCAGAAGTGAAGGAGTGTGTTCTGATAGGAGGCGAGGGTGTGGGAGAAGAGATTGCAGCGGCTAGCTCCAAGGAGATCTACCTTCTGACAGACATCGTTCTTGAGCTTCTCAAAGCGAGCCTTGGTGGAACGTACTTGAGCCTGAACCTGGTGGGATTAGAAAATGACACTTTGGTAGATGACTGCTCACAACATGAAAATAAAAAACTACTTCTTTCCTTTTTTAATCTGACTTGTCCACTATTTAAAATGATTAAGGAGAAGAGAAAATAATCAGGGGAAAGAACTGTATCATACAAACATAACAACAAATCCATGAGTGAAACTATCACTGCTATGTATATATGTTTACAATATTGGCCATTTGTAAATCATTCACATCAGTTTGCAATGATGTTTCTAGTGTTCACTCCTTTCAGCTTTCTAGCTAATAGCACTTAAAGCAGTCAAATTAGTTCTTCCTCCAAGCAACCAATTCACTAAATATGAATTGCAAGATATAATTTTTTCCTTCAGGCTCCCCACATTTCGTACTTATTTTCCGTACATTATACTTGATTTGAATTTTTTTTTTTTTTTTTTTTTCCGTGTGAAATCTACTCTTATATAATATACGCCTGTATAAAAAATTAAAAAAGAATATAAACTGTTTTTCTTATGTAAAATGTGGATTAAATAAAACTTCAAACTTCAAACATCCTGGTATGTATTTCAAATTCAAGTAAATAAACCCCTAAACCACAATGATTTATCGTGAAAATCATAACATCAATGGATAGCTAGACGTCTTACCTTTCTGAACTTCTCAAGCTGTTTATATGTATCTGGATCAAGTTCTTTAGAGATATCTTTCATCCATAGCAGAGCTGCTCTGTATTCTAACCGCGATCCTTCCATTCGATTGATTGTCATGAGTGTGTCTGAGATAGCACGGTAACGGAACGTCTCAATCTCTTGGTACAGTCTCGCAAGGGGAGGACGCAAAGCCAATCTGAAAACAGGTCAAAATGTAGGATACCATGTTATACTCAATGCTTTGGTCAATACTTATATAGAGCTTATTCATCTATCAATGTTTTGTAGAAAATTGATTCAAATAAAAGCAGAATAATCAGAGAACAAGAACAAACTCACAAGGTATTAATGTCTAACAAGGAATATGAAAGTTATGAAGTTTTGTAAGTCAAGATTATTCAATATCCAATGGGTGATGACTGGAAGACCGTCCATTATTTCTTTTTCAAAATTTTATAACGAACAAAACAAATGTGAAGATCCATCGTATATCACATATAATGACTGAACCTTCAACAGGAGATTCTACATATGATATTGAAATTAAAAAGCTAGTGAATCTTTCTATTTCATAAAAAAGTTTGAAAAAGAAATAATGAACGGTCTTCCAGTCATCACCCGTTGGATATTGAATAATCTTGACTTACAAAACTTCATAACTTTCTAATTCTATTTTGAAACCTCAAATTTCCCATATTTCTGTTTTCATCTATCTATACATGTATTAAAGGCTAATTCCCCTTCAATGAAATAGTCAATGTTAATGTATTTGCAGTGAGATAATTACTGTTAATTCTAATATTTAGTGATCAATTACATGGGATCTTATTCCATGGTGTGAGGGTTTGAGAGTATTATTCAGTCCTACACCTTGCCTGGCAAGGCTAGCAAACCTTACATCAGATGATAATCCCTCATATCTACTGGTACACTTGAGCTTTCAAACCTACTTGGCTGATTCAAGAGGTTTGTTGCTTGTAATTAGATTCTGATTCAGTTTACATGCTACATGTATTGGAAGGAGTTGGCTGTATGATGTTAGTTTTGTATTTCACAAAGCCATGTACATATAAAAACAAAAGTTCTTTGTACTTTGTTTGTAGATCCCTTTCACACAAGGGTCTTTCTTTCCTGTCCCCGCACCTGCAAAACATCCCTAGAACTTGAGAGAGCATTATCACTTCAGTTTTAAAAAATGTAACTAATGCACTGTATTCATGCTAGTCTAAGCGAGTGTTTTGATTTTATTTTTCTTGTTGATGTTCTTTGTCATTTTTTTGTTTTGCCTAGGGACATTTAGAGAGTATAATTATCTATTATTACACAGTCATCACAGTAGACCATTTATTATGTAACAAGAATACTTCTCTTGCTGTGAAACTCGAACTAGAGAAAATGTGTCTAAACCTTAATTTCATATGCACGCTCAATGACAAAGTCGTTCAATTTGATAGAATATTTATTGAATATCATGTGACCAACAATCCTCCAATCAAATATCAAGGATCTACTTGGATGTAAAACATAAAACATTCTATTCATCATAAATAGATTTACTCTGTTTTAAACAAGGAATATTCAACGATTTCTTTTATTACTGTTTGATGATGAACGTAAGAACTATTTGATAACATGAGCATTCAGATTTTTTAATGGTTGCAATTCTCTCAATCCTTGAAAATCCCCTCTCCTGATTTTCTCTGCAAAACAAAACTTAATGATAATAATATTACTAATATTGATGTAGTCATCATAATAGATGAGTTGTTGTTGTTAATAAGAGAGTAGTTATATTTACCTTTGTTCTGATGAACTAGTCTGTGCTTTACCCACCGCAGCCATCATCTTACCAGCTCTCGTCTTATCAACACTACTACACTGCTTCAAGAAACGACCCATACTACCTTCCTCCTGAGATAATGCTATGATACAAACACAACAATTAAAAGAAAATGTAACAATTTATGTTATTAACATCTCTCCCCTTACACTATTATCCTTCTCTCTCTCTCTCTGTCTGTCTGTCTATCTGTCTATCTGTCTATCTGTCTATCTGTCTGTCTCTCGTCTTTCCCTCCAGTCTTTTCTCTACCAATCATCTGCAACTGCTTTAAGAATCAACGCACCCCTTCCTCTCAAGATAATGCTACAAAAATATTTAAAAGTCTCAACGATGTCAAGGAATTGATATATGTGAAGATACTACTTTGGTTATCATAGGGCAAGTGATATGAAATCAAAATGTATTATTCACTATAACAGAGCTTTAAGTTTGGTAAACAATGTAAACTTGATGAAACCAAGCATACTTCATTCAAGTTAAATCAACATGTCTCAAAGCCAAACAATGCTAACTAATCAGTTTTTGGGGCCCACAGAACAAGATAGTCCATGTTACAAAATCCTGGCACCAACATCCTTTGGCAAGACATTAATCTATTTTGCCGCTCTACATCCAGGTGCAAGTGAGTACCCAATATTCCAGAGCATTACATATTTGGACGCCAGCTATGACAGGGGTAATACTATTGGAATACTAGGAGTCTCACGGCATGGTGGATGTGTGCAGATTGTGCACTATTTATTAAGCCACCATTATCATTACTATTATTTTAGAAAACATCTGCCATATCCCTAACTAACACACAAGATGACTTACCACACAAATTGTCTTGATAATTCTCTATTATTCTCAGCATTTCCATACATGTGTTCTGAATTGACTTGAAAACCTGCAACAATCAAAAGAAACATCAAAATGATTAACTAATCTGTATATTTATGCATAGCAAATAGCTTAACTACTTTCCAAACATAATTTCCCACATCAATTTCTTTTTCCATGAATATTTGTCCATCCTAATTATTTTATTATTGAAGATCTCTTCTTTTACTTCCTGTTAGACTTCTCTGTTCCCTCCCCTACACATTGTAAACAACCATAACAAGTGAAAAAAAGATTTGTATCAGCTCAGGATCTAGAGCATATGTCCTCAAATCTAAACTCCCTAGTTCAAAATGAAGAATGTGGGTTTGTGGATACCCATGGATAAGGCATTCGTCTTTCAAACCACTTTCAAAATACAAAGTTCCCTCATCGCTTAACTACCAACAAATAAGACCTAGTCCAGTTTGGTATTTTAAAACAGGCTTCAGTAATGTTCACTACAGGCTTTATTATGTCAAAAGCATAAAAGTTAGAATGAGGGTTGGGGTTGGGTTGCACATTAGTGTTGGGTTTAGGGTTGATTGGTTCATGTTAGAAGTTCACCATGGGAGAGTTGTCACTAGAGCCTGGGTTGTAGAGTCACTGGCTATCTTAGCATTCTGACTTACTAAACTGAAACGGTCCCATACTACCCTTAACAAACTATACTGGATTTCAGTTACTGAGAGAATACAATACTGGATACTTGTTCAAATTAACTCTTTCTGCAACAAAGAACACCACATTCACTTCAATCTACATCAGCTTCTTCCTATCTCATTCCCAATCCCTATCAATCCATTGCCCTCAATGCATGTCTGAAAAAAAAAACATTTGAAAACACACCTCTACAATTCTTAATTTTTCCTTAGACTAAGGAGTAGCACATTGGATACTCTGGGAAAAAGGCTATATAAATCAAAATAGTAATATTATTATTTTTATTGTAAGCAAACATCAATCACTTAACATACACAATTTTGAAAAAGAATATGACAAATGATTATTTGATGTTCTTACTTCTAATTTGGCATCAAGCTCCGAGTCACCAGCTATCACATGTTCATCTTCTTTCCTTCCAAGTTTCTTGATCATACTCTGTTTGGTCACCCAATACTGCTGCTGCATTCTATACAAAGAGACAAAGAGACAAAGAAATAGTCACAGTACGACAATCTCAATATCTTTTCTCATTATCAGGAACTGCTGTTGCATCCAACACAATCATAATTATAAATAACTGTTAGTGAAGCTTGATAATTTCAAAGGCTATACAAAGGCACAGAGAGACATCTTATGTCTTTCCTAAGTACTTGATCACTGTGTTTTTTCAGTATCAACATTGTTTGACCTTTACACCAACTTTAGAAACGAGAAACTCAAAATGCACATTACACTTTTTTGAATTTTGTAAAACAAGTGTCATGTTATGAAAATCCTGGTCAAACAAGACTTGTTCCCTGAATGCTCCTGGACATAGGTGAGTCAGTCTTATACTCAGTTGGGTTTTTTCCCTCATTAATAATGAGACTTTTGCCAACATACATGTACATGTACATGTTGTATCTTTGGGGTCAGAAGGATTTTCACTGTGTGTTAAGTATATACAGTCAAACCTGCTATAACAACCACCTGTATAGAAAGACCACCTGTCTACAAAGACCACTTTTATTGTCTCCCTTGGGTGGTCTTTATAGACAGGTTTCACTGTTTATCAATTAAATGCCTCTCTGGCTCTAAGCACATGATGTTATCTTACCTGTTAGCCACAGATTTCTTGCCTCCTGACTGTTCCTGTACATATTTATCATACGATGAAGAAGAGTAGCCAGCCTCCCAGTTCCTGAAAATCAAACACAAACAGTAATCAATATACATTATAAACACAGACAAGAGTGTAATTCAATGTACATGTAGGATGTAAGTGCTATCATTCACAAATTATTTCATATACATGTACATGATGGGTAACTTAATTAAAGCTAATACATAACTCATGTACAGTACATGTGTGCAATCTTAACCCATTGCCTATGTGTACCAGGTAACCCCTGTATAAAGCCTATGGAAATAATAGAATTCAGTAGTCATTGGGTGAACTGTAGTAAACCTGTTTGTAATCATGTAGGCTATAAAACTTCAGATTTTCACCATAATAAAGAGCTCTACGGTATATATTCTGAAACTCTGGTAGTTTATAAATCATATTAAAAATGTTCCTCTTTATTTTCGAATAAGTCACATTAAAAAAAACAAGAAATGAATTCATCCTTTCTTTATTCTTAAATGAAAAAAAGACCTACCGGTAGTAATAAACTAGAGTGTGAATTGCAAATGAAAGCTGCAAAACATTGTGTAAATTGGTTAGCTGTATATGCATATCAATCTCTGTGCAATTACATGTACACACCTGCATTATTATGATCAAAATTTGTTTTTAGTAACTTTTTACAAACCATAATTTCAGGCATATTAAGTACAACATTAATCCAAAACCTGTATACGCTAGTAGAGTGGTAAATTCACCATGAGGTCAATATATGCTGCTGTCCTACATGTACAAATCTGATTAATGTCTGAATTCCACTCAGACTTCACATGTATGTATCTGAGGTTGAATTACGATGGATACCAGGACAAATTTCTGTTATGAATGAACACACCTGTGCAGTACAAAGAGGGCTATCTACATGTACATGTAGTATCTTTACAAAGCTCTGTTTACTGAATTACACATGTTGTCTACATGTACAGTATACAATGTGTTTATTTATTTACTTCTAATCTTTTGTCAGGGTAGCCCATTCACCAATAATAAGAAGTGGTCTTCCATGTTTGAGGTCTCCAAATTAACATCTTTCTCAAGTAAGTCAAAGTATAAGAGTGCGCAACTGCTCAAACATCAAGTAAAATGACATAACGTTGGGACACAACATGAATTACAATTTAGATGTTTTATGAATGGCTACCGGTACTTCTTTATTTCCTTTTTCATTAGAGCAGATCTACTCTCTTCCTTTAACAAGATAGGAGATCTATAATTCACACAAACTATATTAAGGCCAATGCCAGCTTAGGAGTACATGTCATTTTACTATGAAGATATTAATTAACCAGGAGATTTTGTACCAGGAAATATACTCTCTTTTTGTTTAAAAAAATTAATGCATAAGTGCTTTATAATACTGTACTCCTGCAATCAGTAACATGCACTAAAGAGGAAATGACCACTTTATCTCTTTTTCATATAAATTATTTGAGCAATATTGCTTTAATTATTTCCATTCAATATTTTTAAATCATAAGGCACATGCCATTTTACTTAAAATATATCCAACAGTACAGGTAGCTTAAACACTAAAAAAAGTAAGTCCTTTAAAAAAAAAATAATTGTAAATTAATATACATGTTCATACACTGAACATGTATTGACTTCACTAACTCTATTGCTGCTAGTACATAATTTGTAGCACGTTGCTACTCAGTACATACATGTACACTGTCAATGTAAGTATGTACATGTATTATCTTAGGCCTGTGTTATATATATCAGACACCACTGCTATTAAAGGTAAAGACCAGTATTGGAAACGCCCCAATTTCAAAAAATGAAATGGAAGCTCTCATTACCAATCATGTGAAAGAATATGTTTTGACTAAGACATGATGATAAAAAATTTGCCGGGAAACCGCCTACTAATTCATATAATTGGTAAATTTGTTTCTCTCATGGTCTGTGAGAGATATAGGGTAGTCCCATATACATCTTTCTGTGTATAGTGCTGTAACTTTACGAAGAATGGGCCAAATTTCTTATCATTTTGATGATTCCAGAACCTTGCAGATGCTAGATGCTAGATGATCAACCTTTTCTGATCGATTCCACAACGTTTCTTTCACAATGCAATCGCATGACCATAACTGGTCTTTACCTTTAAACCTACAGGTACATGTAGCTATGGGAAACACTACTAGTCCTAGATCTAGAATCAGGGCAGGTTCAACACTAGACCAATCCCAGTAAATTTAATTTACTAAATAAGCCTATGATTTGAGGCCTCGAACTGTATTGTACAGTATGTTGATTGTATGATTCAAGCATTTAACAGTGTCTGTTATATGTCTGCATGCAAGTACACATAATACAAATTGCATGCTTTTTCACAGAGAAACATATATGCTCTTTGATGATACTGAAGATTAAGTGTTCAAACAGAGAAAAAAGCAACTGAAAACTGCCAGCTCTATTTCATATTGTAACTTTAACTATAAATTGGTGTTTAAAGGAAAGTAAGCAAACGAAAACAAGGAAAAAAAGGGGGGAAAAACGATGGTTTTGTAAAAAGATGTTAAAAATGTTAAAGTTATTACAGTAGCCAATAGCAATTTCAAAACAAAATATTGTGCTGTCAAAACTCGCTATAAATGTGTGTTAGTTGAACTGCAATAATTAAAAAAAGGAACAACAGCATCCACTAATATGGAATAAATACAAGCTGTAATACACAATGATTTACTGTGGCACAATCTTATTTCTAAACACATTTTTAATCTAGTACACATATGAACTACATGTAGATAATCTCTGTACTAAAATAGCGATGTACATGTAGCTGCTATATTTTTGTTTGTTACAATAGATAATGGTCTACAAAATTGCAACTACATTACATGTACATGTACAGCGTAAAATAAAATATAGAGAATTGTACCTTTCAGATTCCATCCCATGTTTACTGGTAAATCCAAAGCAAATGTTTCACAGAAACCAAACTCTAAATACTTTATTATCATACAGGATTCATACCATGTTTTTCCAAATTAATCAAAAGAAAAGACCCCTTTACTCCCTCCCCAGTGTACCCACTGGAAAACCTAAAAAAAAAAATTCTGGATAAATTCAGTAGCAAGTATATTATATCAATTATTTATGTTTACTGTGAGTTGTGGATTAAAACTGTTTTCGTGAATAAGCCGAAATAAAAAAACAAAGATAGAGAAATGGTACACGAACAGAATGGGATTAGCTTTCCCAATACACAACAAAACAAAAACTAAACTACAATAATGAGATATTTTGGTCATCTTTTATTCTAATTTACATTCATGAAACTTAACAAAATGATATCACAGTCTGACTACTAAATCTAGGCTTTGAAAACAAAGAGTTTGATTGATTTCATGCTCGTGAAGAACAGCACTCAGACAAACAAACAAACATCAACCAATACTGACCTTTCTACTAAAGGACCTTCTTCTGGATTCTCAGGCCTACAAGTATTTATCATAAAAGTGTTTGGATAAAAGATGCTACATTCATGCTGTAACAGTACAGTGTCAGTGCTTTATATGCAAAGGCAATGCTATTTGAAATTAAGGCCCTCTCCTTCATCTAATATAACAAGGGAAGTTGAGAGAGCCGATTGGTTTCATTCATTTAGCCTGAAAACAGACATGTTGGACCCTGACACATTCTGCACTTTGTGAAGACTGACAAAACCAAAACAAACGTGCCAGAGCCTGAAATTAGGGCAAAATCCTGAAAAATGACATCTTTTTGCATGTATCTTAGCAACGCTACTGTAAGATGTAATGTGTCACAATACTATTTTATGATGATCTGAATAATCTTGTCAATATTCCAATAACCAGAATTCAGTGAAACTCAAACATAGAAAAACAACAGATTTATATCATTCAATTTTATATTTTTTGACAGTTTAGTAGTATTTAGCACAATTAAAGTTACAGTTCATTTATTTACTAGCTGTAGGTATGTCCTTTTAACATGTTCCAACCTCTAAGCAATCATATTATGATTTTCAACAACTTAAATAAGCATTTTGCACTCTGGACATATTTTTACTTGCCATAAATTGGTGCTAAAAAGTACTGAAATGACTTTCAGAATAGGACTATAGGAGCTTTGATGAAAGGTCACTCTTGTATACAGCAGGTTCTAGAATGTAGGCAATCTAATTGGTCAAATGACACCCCGTGACCGTGCATCATTCTTTACTACCACGCCTACCATGCAAAAAAGTTCCTCAAAGTGCTAATGCATAGTAAAGATGTCCTTTAAGGTGTGCGCACAGTGCGTATCTCTGGTGCATACAAAATAAAGATGCGATGAAATGCAGGTACAGTACATGTACTTGCAAATAGCAAGGACATTGATGCGCTCATTGAGACTTATATACCGTCTTGTTATTCAAACAAAATGGCACCAGCATCCTCCCCCCCCCCCCCCCCCCCCCCCCCCCCCCCCATGACTGTCCATTTGATGGCATTATGATCGGGTTGTTGCTAATTTTTCAAGTTTATATTCATATTGCAGACCTGTTTTATAACACAAATACATGTACTTATGTTGTGATGTTTGCACATTAGTGTTATGCACTTCTCTTGGTTAAGCCACACTGAGCCAGATTTGAACTCAGTCTTGTTCCAATCATGACTTCACCTGTGTGCAGTGCAAATTTGCTAATGTAGGTCTACTATGTATACTATCCCATGATAATCCTTACCTTTGTTGATGCATGATGCTTTACTGCTTGATTAATAATCAGCTCAAATTGGTGAATCTTCTTAGCTTCCTGCTCCAGGCTCTTTATTCATACAAACAGCTACAGATACATGAAGGTACGTCTGGGCTGTAATGTGAGAGTGAAACAAAAAGATCAAAATTCTGTTTCACCCATCGAGGCATTCTCATTGTCTACAACTGCTCTCCCAAAGTAAAGTGATCTCAAAACATAAAATAAAACAAATAATACATGCATTTGCCCTTACTGCTCTCTAAAGTCATAAATTTTGATAAATACCATTTGTATTTTAAATGAATGAATTAAAGGTGTAATGAGGGGATAGGCTGATTTTTCAAAATCAAACACATTTAATTTAATGTCACCATCTCGTCATCCTTATAATATATCACTCCGGTACAAAATCTCATATTCTTGTTGAATTCTTGACCAATTTCAAAGTGCTTTGTATGAGAAGAAAGAACCGTCCACTAGCGAACTCCTAAGCCATTGTGCAATGTTCGTTTGGAGAGCCATTATTCCAACACAAAAACAAAGGGTGAATGCTTCACAAAGCTATCGCTACTTGGCTCCTGCTCTCACACATCTCTTTCCGACTGGATCAACCCCTCACTCTTTCACAATCTCTCTCTCAAGTTTCATACTTGACCTCCACGTTAAACGTTCCACTACATGTATGTGATGCCGCTGCATGCGCATGCAAACCTGCCTATCCTTTTTATATGTGTACTACCAACACCTGCACCAACTCCAGTTCTCCAAACTGGAGAAAGCCGAGCTAAGAAGAAGAAGAAGAAGTTTGGTGGGGAAAGGAGCTATTTACCGATTAGGGCCAGCAATTTTTGTTTTGGTTACCTGCCTCTTCTCAATCTTCTTCTTCTTCTTAGTTGATCCCTCCACTGTTTTGGAGATTCCTGGAGTCCAAATAAAGTAAATGTGTATAATCCGACCGGTTAGGAGCTTTGGAGAGTCTTAGAACGAGAAGCATCAATTTTGTGTAGGAAAAAGAGCGATAGTAGAAGTAGGTTATTATGAATTTCGGAAGGCAAGCATGGATGCAGGGGTAACAGAGTAGCAGGAGTAAATTGCTTTGGGTCATCAACAACATATAGGTTTAGACAGATGGGATAATCCACGAGGCATTCCTTGACTTTGCTGATGAAATCCAGACGGAGATGAGCCAGGTATGAGCAGACTCCAACAAAGTGCTCCACTGTCTCATCGTTGGTTTTACAAAGGGGGCATGTAGAGATAGGCGATTTCTTAAGCGTGAAAAGACGGCATTGTGTCAAGTAAGTACATGTGAGTAATTGGGCTCTCACTATAAGAGCTCTTCGGATGGGAGGAGATGATGCATTCTTTGGATATAGGAGATTTGCAGAGGGTAGAGTGATATTTATCCAGAACTTGAGAGAGGACTTAGAGCGGATTCCTTGTAGAGTATTGTGTTTTACCACCAGGATGACTTTGTAGTTGATCATCCTTTTCCATGTTGAGTAGAGGGGTGGGTTCGAGACGAGGCTTTGGAGGTCTGGAAGATCATACTTCCTCAATGCCTCTTAAAGGACCAGTATTGAGGGTGTATGCGTTTTGAGGGCATCTAGGAATGTTCTGAATTCAAAACGGCTGTGATCAAGCTTGATGAGTTGACCTAAAAGCAAGAGCCTACCAAGATCAATTTGCACTGAGACTGGCAGGAGGTTGGTGAGCAAGTAGACAATCTCATCAGCAGCAGACTTCGGCACCCCTAATATCTGTTTGAAGAGATGTGATTGGGCCCTGTCAAGTTTCAGCAGCATTGATTTTGTGAACTTGGTTGTGGACGAGCCATGTAGCATTCTCGGAATGCAGAAGGTTTTCCACAGATGGGAAACAAGTGTAGGGATGAGGCCACCAGTATACGCACCAGTACCAGAGAGGGCGTAGAAAGTTCGGAGACCCGTTCCGATGATATTGTCTGTGGGGTCATGCCGTGCGCCAGATTTGGAGATACCAAGATGTGGATGAGTGACTTTCTCCTTGATGGTTAACCCATTAACTACCCAAGCTGACCCTGAAGTTTGCTTTGACTTGCTGGTCACAATCACTGCACTTTTTGAGGAATTGATTTTGTAGTGCCAGTGCCTAACGTAGTCAAAGGTGATCTCCAACATCTGTTGAAGTTCAGCCGATGAGTTGCTAAGGAGAGCAACATCATCAGCGAATACAATAATGCCAGAGAAACGGCCACCTATTGAGCATCCCAGGTTCTTCTCACGCAATTCCTTTATTAGGCCATCAACGAATGTTGTGTACAATGTCGGAGACAGAACCCCACCTTGCCGGACCCCTTGAGATATGGGAATTGGGTTGCTGGTCTTGCCCTTCCAGAATACCTTGCTTTCCATGCCATTGTACATAGACTCCAACATGTCAATCGCGCTCATACTCGTAGGGTTTAAATGTTATTATGGTACCAATTAAGGTTTTGTGATATCAATTTCATATTTCAATATCAGCAAGCCCTTAAGGCTAACCCTTGGTTACATAATGACAAATTCTTGCTCAATATCACATCAAAATTTAATCTCAACTCATTCCCCCCACGTCCACACACACAATGCAGTCAGCAGTGCACTCGAGCTCGCAGCTACCCTTTGCTCAGTGCAGCACAACGCAATCGGTTTCGTGTGATAAACAGTCAGTCGACACGATTGACAGACACAGACACATTAAAAAACGTACATACATTTAAACGTTTAACAAAACAATAGGGCTAGCATGAGACAGAATATTGTTCTTACCATCCACAGTTATCAAATCATCGCTATGACTACATAATACTCTTCTTAGTTCGACAGGAAAATGGTAACATATTACAGTTTCATGACAGCTTCCCTCTCTGTTTTACGTCCATTTAGTACGTGTAGATTTCTAGATTATTGTTTTTTCAATGGTTATAGCGCCAGCTTTGTTGAAGATGCGTAAGTTTTCTGCGAAAGCTAAAAAACAGAGAAGGAAATTTTGGTGGATTGGTAAATGAGTTGCGTTTCAACAAGGCCAAAAAAATAATATTGGGGCTGGGAAGGTAAATCATCTCTCTCTCTCTCTCTCTCTCTCTCTCTCTCTCTCTCTCTCTCTCTCTCTCTCTCTCTCTCTCTCTCTCTCTCTCTTTCTCTCATTCCTTCTCCCCGCCATTTGATTTGGGTGAGGGCATGCGACCCTGTCACTCCTAAAATTGCACAATTATTTTGTAGCTGCGGTTTCTTATCGTATAACACATTACTGGTCTCCAAAATTATCATTCTTTTTTACAGCATTTGCATAAGCTAGGAGCATGTACTGAAATAGTCGTCCTATTTCACACATTAAAGATTTGGCCCCTCGAATATAATTATGTCTGATTCATTGACAAAAGAGTATTCAGTCCAACCTTAGCCATCAGATTTACTTAAGAAAAAAAAGACAACAACAACAAAAATGCAGTCGGGTGGGATTAAATTTTCGTTTCCATCTAGATTTAGAGCATTTAATTCCGGGTAACAAAGCTTGGTCAATGAAAGGCACTTCTAGTGTTTTTAGGGACCGTGTGTGAAACCTACTTCCCAATGTCTTGCGGCCCATGGGATCGCTGATCTCTGAAATAGCGGAGGGAGAACAACAAGAGAAGAAGATGGAAAGTTTTATCAGCTATTATAATTGAATAGCCATATATCTCTTCCTTCCGAAAAAAATGTAGTCAATGGGCCTTATGGGGTAAAATTGCATTTGTGTAATGACAATATCCTAGATTCCTTACTCTTGCTGTTCGAGCCCTTTATTTACCACAGCATTCACAGTGGGGAAAAAAGCATATTTGATTATAATTATGTCAAATGTTTGTTCTTCTCCATGTAACTATAAGGACGTTGCCAAAGATTGTGTACATCAGCATGGTTTTGAACCATGCTCATGGCTAGACTAGAGGTTGTCTTGCTCTCCACTCAACACCATCGCACTTATACGTGCTTAAAGGGTTAACTACTCCCCTCCCATTAATCCCTATATTTTGTTGTATGCTCCCATCTATACCATATCCGCCCAAACTACAATATCGTTATTTGTAATGTTTCGTGTTCACACCCAAGGAAACTTCCTGATTCATGGCCTTGAGCAAGGGAATTGTGCATGAACTTGGTTTTGAACTGAGGATCTCCCTAATATTCTAAGATCGATGGTCTCTATATTCCACCGCCATGCCTCTAGTGTTTGTGTCACTCAATGTTAGCCCCCCCCCCCCACTCCCGCACCATTCCCACTCGGTGGGTGTCGATTCGCATTTGTATCACCATTCCTCCTTTACCTTGTGGTAGGGTCCATGCTCCTATCATACACAGTCATGAGCTGCATGAACGATTTTCAACTTTGCGCGATATATGCTTCCTCATTCTACTCGTCATGATGTGATCTTACAATTCTCTAATTACATCCAATACCATGCGCGAGAATAATCTGTATTATAACATGAATGTTCTATTTAACTTGTAATCACCATGATGGTTCGAAAACAATTGTTTGTTACATTTATTGTATGAACCAGGCTTTGTTCATGTGGTGCACAACTTTTGAATAATTGAACTTTACACAGCTTTGCATAACAAATTTACAGTGTATGCGCTTGGAGAGCAAAATAATTATTCTGTTTTGTTTACTAATGTAAAGCGCTTTGAGCATGTTTATGTAAAGGCGCTATATAAATATCAATATGTATGAATGTATGCATATCATTCTTTCTCTTGTCATATATTATATAGTGTAAGGTTTTTGAACGACTTTTTCCTAATCCTTTTGATTTGCCTGTTCGCTTTTCATTCTATCATCCTTGAGAGTGGCAGAATCATATTTTGTTCTTCATCTGCCTTGTGATTCCACTTGCCACAGTGGGAACAGCCATTCATGTATTTGCAGTCATGCATGGATATTACGAATGAACAGACTTGGTATGATTCCTACCAGTGGGCACATACATTATACAAATGGTCTTGAACTGAGTGCATCGCGATTCCCAGACCAGCGCTCTCTTTCCACTACTTCAACTTAGTAAACCCTTTGCTTCTCCCTGTGTTTTCTACGTCGATCATTCCATCCTCTTATCCTCCA